AATCACCCTTCAATCCCCTTATCCTTGTATAGGTCAAATCGCGTATTGTAATACCAATACTGTGATATTGGTTGCATACTTGCAATGATGACGTCGGGTATGATAATTAATTAACACACTGTACATCAATTTAGGTAATTGAAGTATGGGATTCGGAATGTGTTTAAAAAGAGTTTTAAAATAAAAATTGTACAAAATTTAATTCTTAACAATATATTCTATCTAAATGGGGCTGGAAAATTGAGGACTAACTTCGTATAGGTAACTGTGGGAAGGTTATATTTTTTTTTGAATAATGATTTTGTTATCGAATTCCAATCGAATCGTCTTCAATACCTTCAACGTCAAAACATTTTTCTTTCGTTGGTTTATTTTCTTTTTATTAAACACCGATTGTCACGTAATTATAATAATCAGGAGTTTGTATTGTGATCGAAAAGAAAAAAAAGGTAAGAAGTTGATTCCGATCATCTCTGGGATAAGAAGCCACCGTGTCTTCGCATTTGAAGAGCGGTTCAATGTTTATACAGGTACAAGTGAACAATGAGTCCTTCAGAAAAAGGTCCCAGGAGCCGCAAAGGTAGTGATTACGACCTTTTTTTCTCATTCTCCTTTTAGAAAGATTCTAGAAAACGTAAATTAACGCAAAAAATATTTTTCTTTTTGATGTTTCTTAATTACGTATGCAATTCTTTTTTCGGCGGTGCTCCAGAAAAGTTATCTTGTTTTCAGATCTCCCCAGAATGTCACCGAATCCTCAATTTATTATTCCCTTTCAATATAAAGGGCAGGTGAATTTAGGTTCATCTACATACATAAAACATGTTTTACATTTTACAAACAGAAACTTCTGTTTGTCTGCCTATTTTAAATAAAAAAAACCTTTAAGGGATTATTTTTAGATTCAAAAATTAATGTTTTTCTTTTTGCCACGTGCACCAATTATTAAAATATAGTTTCGGGTGTAGGCCGCGTGCCGTTATCCCCCCCAACCTTTATGAAACCCACATGAATTATTGAAGAACAATAAACGAGGGCATATAGGGAACATATTTGTGTAACTGATTTGTTTGCTGAATCACAAAAGAACCTCGGTTCATCCCATATCGATTCTTATTGTTTACGCAAACGTTTGTCCCACCACACGGAACGTTTAATAGATCCAATTATATTCGTAGAATGCACAGTTCAGTTGATTTGTTGACTTTCACAAATCGAATTGAATTTAATCTTTTAGGTCTTTACAAATTGTTTTTGTGTGATTTTTTTCTAATCAAAAAATATTCATTAATATCGTAATATATTACTTTTAGTTAACATTAAAATCAAGCCGTTTCTCCTGATGATGATCCGAAAACGTAGAAACCGGTGGAGAAGCATCAATCAAAGTTAACCATAACAGAATAGTCTGGAACACTGTTACTCGTTGAACCCAAAAAGGAGATATCAAAATGGAGAAATCAACATGGAATAAAATGTTTGTATGGTTGTTGCAAAGTACTATTTGCTGCTGTCTCATTATTGGCGTGTGATTTAAAGTTATTAAGACGTTTTATACTGCTTCTTATTTATTGAAAGTTACACGGATGTATGACAGGTGAAATATAACTTTAAAAAGCGTATCAGAAATGTTACACGTGCCGAAGAGTTTTACTTCCGCGAAGCACCCTTTAGGTTGGTAATCGCGTCTTCTGTCGGCAGACGTCACAGAACACGAGCCACCTACGATTACACGGTCGAAATTCGCCGGCAGACTTCCACGACGACGACGAAACCCCAACCATCTGTTCAACTAACTCCATATGTGCCCCCTTCAATAACAGCAGTTCCTTTCTCAGTTCAAGAGTTTTCTCTTACTTCCAAAACGTAATCAACAATTTAATGTAATCAGAAGAAATAAAAATTCTTTCAAATAAAATTTATGAAATGAGGTTGAAGTAAAACATATATAATTTGTGGATCATTTTAATCCTTTTTTAAAGGTAATTGTGAAAAGAAGCAATTGTTGTGTAGTTGAAAAGGAATACAAAAGATTACAAGAAAGGGTTTCTATTTTAATGATTTCGCAAGTTAATTTTCTTTGGTAATTTTTATTCTCGTGTTCGTTTCTTGCGGTATCCTTGACCAGGTCAATTGCGGTGATGCCAGAAGGTTGGGAAACGAAGAAGAATCCATCAGACAGATCTCCGTTCGGCCCTTTTACTAAAAACCGACGATCAACCCCAAAGGCACTTCTTACCTGGGGTTTTCACCTTAGTTTTTAGTGAAGAGGGAAAGGGGTAGAAGTAGTCGTTATTAGAAGGATAATTTCTTACGGTCATTTTCTGTTGAAATCACACGGAGGACAACTTTTAGATTTGCCGAAAGCGATAAAGAAACCAAATTTAAAAGATATCTTAAAAAGGTTAATTTAGAAATTGCTATTTTGATTAGGGTCGCGTGGCACTATGAAAGAAGCACTTCCGCGCGAACCCCTAAGAGTCAGTTGGCAAGCGTGGACCGGAACCTTGGCAGATTTAAACTTCCGACGGCTGTCCACTCCAAAGAAACTTTCGCACACCAAACACACTTTAAAAACTAACCGGCCAAAAATAAAAAAGCAAAAAAGTAAACGACTTTTTGGTTCCGTCGAGTCACCCAATAACGAGCTAATCGCATTATACAAGGTGTTAAGTCAATAAAGAGCCGTAAACAAGCGGCCGAAACAAAAAAGCCTCCACCACCGAAACAAAAGCTATTGTAAAAAAAAATCTAACGAAACAACAAAAGGTTGCGGCCATTGTTAAAGTATTTAAGCGTGGAGAGTGGGCAGTGAAGAGGCGCCAGCGGAATCAATTATCGGCGATATCGTTGGCTCATCGTCTTTTTTATCTCAGACTTCTAGTTATCAGATAGGTGCCAAAGTAAATCTCGGTCTTCGGCACCTTCAACATCATTTCTCGCCAAACTCGTAAATAAGTTTGGGTCGACTTATTTATGACTTTTAAAACACTTTTAGTTTTATTTCTGTTTATAATTTGTGATGATGTAGTGTCTCGTCCAGAAACGACCTTGACTTAATTAGGCATGATATCGATACTAACTGGAATAACTTTATAAAATCGAGGTTGCTTGCAAGCGAGGCGCTACATCAATACAAATACTAAAAAACTTGAGATTCTTGCACACTGTTGAGAGGGGTCGATATCTGGTTATCAGATAGGTGCCAAAGTAAGTCTTCGGCACCTTCAGCATTATTTCTTGCCAAACTCGTAAATAAGTTAGAGGACGACTTATTTACGACTTTTAAACCTGAACTACATTTCAGTAGTTCATCCTGCAAATGAGCCGCCTTTTTGTCGATATAATCGATTGGTGTTGTTTATGGTCCAAGTTTTTAGCGAAAAATTATTGTTTGGAACTATTTTACGACCCCAACTAAAAGTTTTAATGGCTTTAACAAGAAATAATTAACTAATTTGAAAATTTCTTTATCTTAGCATTTAATTTTGAGATTTTTTATTACAAATTCTTCAAAAACAAACATTGGCGACAGGATGATTTGTTGGGCGTGACGTAATTTACTTCCAAACCAGTTTTCGAACCGTGCTTCTGTAAAATGACATTTCTTCTTTTTCGATTTCCAATACATCAATGTCATCGGGGATTTCGATGGGCGGAGAAGTTTTGTCTCTTTGTAAAAATTCTCTGTTTAGTCTGTTTAATAATCTAAAGGGAGGCAGTTTCCAAGAATTTACCCGTTTACGCATTCTTGGAATCTTTAAACCATACTTTGTTCATAAGCAAAAAAAATCTGGTGTATTGAAAACCCTTTCGTTAATTGTAGGGTTATTTTGCGAGATACATAATTTAGTCAGATAATAAGTACTTAATATTTTTAAAACCTTTTAATTTAACAAAATTCCTCTTTTTTAACGAAAAACATCTCATCTTTCTTCGATGAAGAAAAAAGGGCGAACTAACAAGAAAATAACAAACTCTTTTATAATTACAACTTCTTTTCTGGTTTTTGGTGGGATTTTGATTTTGATATTTTTTGTACTCATTAGTTCCTCTAAACGCGAAACATCTCATAAAAGAAGAGACTAAGTGGAATCGAATGACATACCACAACGACGTCTTGTTATCATCCCCAAATTCGGTTGAAGTCGTCAAAAAAGGGCTGGGACCGTTTCGTTTTTTCTTTACAACCTCCTGATCACTAATATTACGGGTTTTCTTTGACAAGAAACGCGCCCGCCGAGTTACGTCACAAAACACAAAGTCCCTTTAGCGATTGAGCAACACGACGACAAGTTTTCTTTTCTTCAATATTCCAAGAACGTCAATTTCATTTTTTTTCTTTTACTCCAAATTATATTTAAATGAAATCACGAAGAAAAAAAAAACGTAAAAATTAAAAGGATTCGAACATAATTTAGGTTTGTCTATGATTGGCGATGCATTATCCAGAGGTGTCCAATTCGTTTTAGTCGAAAGAGGTGACCCTTTTTGAGTCATTTTGAGAAATTGTTTTTGGGTCGACTCCGGTTTGCCCGGAGCAAAACGCAGTTTAAAATCCGAACATCTCGGAATTCTTCGAATCTCGTTGCTGTTACCATTTGAATCTCCGGGCAAAACTGTGCGTGTCGTCTCTCTTTGAATTTGCACGACTACAATTATATATATATTCTTTTTTCTATATTTCTGAAAATTTGTTATCTTTTTATTTTTAATCTTTTTGGCTCATTTACCATAACAGATAAAGTTACTAATCAGACTAGAGTTATGCCAATGTGTATAACATTATTTATATTTAAAGCGCCGAGGTTGCTTACCGCCGAGACGCTACAATTGAGATGGTGTTGACACAAATCTAGTCAGCACTGTAATAAAACATCAATTTGCCAAGGTCGCTTGGCAATTTTTATGGCCAGTGATATTAGAAATAAAACTAAAACTACAAACTTCCGGGCAAATGCCTGTTTCATTTCATACATTCTTGGGCAATAAGAACCATATACTTATTCTATATTTATTTATTTACTTTCGTTTTAAAGAGACTACAATATATCTTTCAACACCTCAACTTTTTTTTAACTTTACAAATAGTCATTTAACCCTTGAACAAAATAATTACTACCTGTATCTGAAGAACGTCCCGTTTCTAATAAACACGAGTCACTTAAATTAACACCTCAATCCGTCACATTTCTTGTTGTTGTCAATGGTATAAATTATCGTATCCGTGGTACTGGGAATGCAGTAACGGTACTCCTCCGGACCCTCTTTGCCTGTTGCCTCCTAAATTATAAGGTCCCGAGACTGGTCCTCTACCACTATAAGAGCTGTCGTATCCGCCGTAACTGTTCAGATAACTGCCTGCGTTGTAATCTCCCGGAAAATAATATCTTCCATTATAATTATATCCGGTATTTGGATTATTATAAAATTGTCTTATAGGTCTAGGTGTTGTATAATAAGAACTTTGTTGATAATAAGGATACGGCGTTGATTGTTGATATTGATACAACGAAGAAATACTTTGGGCAGGTTGATTTACAGTTTGTACAACTGGATGAAATCCTGTACTATCAGCTGTATATTTAACTAATCTGGTTGATCCATCGGGTTGTAAAACGGAATAAGCCCCAGAAACGACTCCGTTTTCACGTTTCTCCCAATGGGATTTTTGATCGCCGGTGTTATGGTCAGATACGCCATAAGAAAAGGCATAATTCGATTCGGATTTATCCTAAAATATTAATAATGTCAACAAATTATTTTGAATCATGCAAACTCAAGGAATAAACAACTCAAGGATAAGTTCAATGTGTCATCATGATAATTAACTTGAAATTGGTGGAAATTAAATAAAATTGATTTAGAAACCGTTAGAAACTAATGGATTAATTAAACTTTATCGCGTATTTTAGAAATTTCAACACATTTTATTTTTAACTTAAAAGTTGAGAAAAATTTAAAAACTTACCTGATCTTTATTTAATGCTTCGAGTTGATTTTCAGTTGTACTAATTGCATTATTATTATTCACTTTTAAAGTTACCCCAAAAACAAAAATTGGTAATAATAACAAAGTAGAAAAAAAAGTGATCATGTGTTCATTTCGGTGAAGATCCATTTCGTCTTATTTAAATTTTATTTTCTTTTTATTCAATTAAAAAAAAAATTGTGAATATTGATGCAAACTTTATCGAATGTAAACGCAAAATGTACAAATTCAATGTAATTGACTTCTATTTATCGTAGTTTTCAAAGTCCTTCAACGTAATTAAAACTATAAAAACACCGTTAGGAAATTCACAAATTTCGAGAACACAAAAGTGAATCATTTTCTTAAAAAAATCAAATTACAGTACTAAATTTGCATATAATGGGAATTAATTGTTTAAAAAAAATTCTTTACTAAAAGGAATATTAATTAATTAATTATAAGAAATAAAAGAGCTAAATGTTGAAGATTTTTTATTTTATTAATAATAAAAAAGTAAACATTTGGCACGATATAATTAATTCACAGCATAAATTAACTTAAACGTTTTACAATAATTTTAGATTTATGTTAATAATACTGATAGACGGTAAAGACTAAAAATTAATCAACGATATTTACAACACCTTAATCGTTATTTTATACAAAAAAACTTATTCCTTAAATTCGACTTTGGTTTCTGCGGTAGTCCTACTCCAAAATTAATAACTTAAATATTAACATCTAAGGACGTTGTTCTAATAAATCATAAAGCGCAGCGATATAAGTTTGAGCCATTTGAAGAGTTTCATACTTAGATAATTGTCGATCTTGTCCCAATTGTGGCAGAAAGGTCCTTAATCGGTCGAAGGCTTGATTTAAATTTTGCATCCTTCTTCTTTCCCTTGCATTCGCAGCTAATCTTCGTTTTCTTAAAATCAGTGGAGTTACCCTTGATTTTCTTCCGTCAACGTCAGGACTTCCGCCAACGTAATCTTCTGTACTATCGTAACTAGCTGTTGAGCAAGACCCCCAATCTGTTGGTGATCTTTGCGGAGTTGTCATCATGTAGACATATCCATATTCTTGGGAGTCCATGATGAAACACTTACGACTTTTTTAAGTAAAAGTTTATAAGGAAACTTCTGGAGTAGGAACGATGAACTTGAAAGTTGGATTATATCTGAGGGTTTAGCTACCTGTTGGCCCTTTTATAGGGCTCAGAACCCTCTGGGAGAACCGCAGCGCGTGCCATTCGTCCAATGGTAGCCGATGGAAGCCCACCGATCGAAAAAAAGGACCGGCAACCGGCCACCAATAATCATACCGAGGGGGTTTTGAACATATGTTACCCCATCGACAACTACTTCTTTCTTTTTATTTCGTTTTTTTGCTTTAATTTTTGATACTAACATGTGTCTAACAACAATTAACTTTAAAAGTAATAAAATTTTAAATTATTAATTAACGACTGCTTGGATAAGTCATCATTCCACACTCATTTGAGGTGATTTGAGTTACATAATGAAGTTCACTGACTTAATTTATTGAAACGAGCAACAATACAAAAGAAAAACTGCTACCTATTTAAAAAAAAGCAATACTATTTATTATAAACATTAATTGTTATGTTTTTACATTTCGAAACACTTATCCCAGATGAGTAAACATGTTATTGAAACAACATTAATTCAAAATTGTCAATGATTTCAAAATATTTTTATAAATATCAATATAAATTGATTTTTAAGTAATTTTTAGCAGTCGTAGATAAAATGTTGTATATCACATGTATGCTATAGCATAATTACAGTACTCGTGTGATTATGTTTCTAGCGCACTTGTAATATAAATAACCATTTTATTCTTTTCTTTGTTAATTTACATAAAATACAAATATTTCCCCGAGGCTAAAGAGCTAAAATAATAGCGGCTTTTCGGTTGTTGGTAAAAAACAAAACGACAGTTACGTCGAAAGGAGGGAAATTGTACGCCCGAAGCTGATGCGGTCGTCTCTCCTCTAAACAATTACCCGAAAAAACTCAAACCATTTGCCATGTAAGTGCCCCGGGGTGGTGATGCCCCAGCAATTCGCTAAAATATGCTAAAAGCAACCCGAAAAATTACCAATTTCTGTTCGAACAAATTTCTTGAACTTGTAATGAACGATGGCAAATATTATATTAAATGAATAAATAAAATAAGTTAAACTTTGTTAAATAAGGAAGAGAGAGACCTTCTAATTTCACTGTGAACTTCCCGTTTCCCTTTAAAATCATATGCGAGCTTCCGCTTTTTAGAAATTTTAAACACGAAGGAGAAACCCAATCCTTTGGAAGTGGAACATAAAAACCTTCTCATTTACCTGATGGCTCTTTGACACTCGCTAGGAATTCTCTTTGCCCATACTCCCGTCGGGAATCCCAATCGAACGGGGTCTAATCGAGATTTTTTCGGTCTGTCTAATCAATTCCCATTCTATGATCGACTAAGGTGGTCCAAAACCGTGTCCTTCTGTTGGCAATAATTGCGCCCCGCCGAGCGATATATGGTGCCATTATTCCCATCACCGGGTTAACTTTTTCTAACCATTAATTTGCTCTTTCTTGCTTTCTTATTCTTTTTTTGTTTCTTTTAAATTTGAACATCCGGAAATGATTTTCAAAAAAAGAGGTGTCATCAAATAAATCGAAATAAAAAAAAAAGAAAGAAAATAAATAAAAAAGGTGTTGTATTAAAGAAATATAATCGGAGGTAATTTTTGCTATAGGGATATCTTAATTTCAACCTTGGGATAAGTTAAGGGTTTTTAAATTACTCCCCGTTGTGTGGGATTCGAATAAAGGGTGCCAAAAAGACTATTAGCGATTTCTTACACCTTTAAGTTATTGCAAAACCACCCAAAGCGTTTTATTCTTTTTGAATAACATTTTTTATAGTAAGATTTTTTAGAATTTTTTAACAAAAAAAAACACATGTTATTATTATCTTTCTCAACAAGATTCTAAAATTGAATTAAATCACCGCTTATAATTGAGTATTATTATAACGGATCAAATTATAACGGAAATTCAAACCATAAAATGAAACGTGGATGTCCCCGGGGGTGGGTTTTTGGAATGACACTAATGAAGTAAAGGATTTTGTCCTAGACGTCATTAAAAAGGGATGAAATAAAATGACCGGCGAGAATCGAAACGAAACGGTTTCCTGTTTCTTGTATCATCTTATTATTTCTTTTTGATTCTTTTTATTTTATTTTTTCGAAAACTACATGCGATATACCGGTTCCAACTCTTTAGCGAAGGCACCGTGTTATTTTGGCCTGTTCTTAGGATGAAAATAAAAAACGGGTTGCAACAATAGCTCACGGTTGGGTATTCGCGTGTTGGGCATCACCTCGACGAAAGAAAATATCATCTTTAAAATAATTTATGGTCTACCGGTACCGAATTTTTCGACAAAAGCCGCTTTTGTATTATGTAAGTTTTTCAGGAAATGAATTGCACCATTTCGGTTAACTTTATTATTAAAAAGATGCACGGTTTTTTTGATTACAATTATTTTCTACAAAGTGTTTTAAGTGGAAAATTTGCTACCTTTTTTGGACGTTAAAAAAGAACTTGTTTTTAACAAAACGACAAGTGGGGAAGCTTTTTGTTTAAAATTTTTCTGGGGGCGAAATCATCATTTCGAAACGAAATTACTCCATCCACAAATACGAATTTAATCAGCGTTTTCTTCTTTAACTTTTGTATTGTCTTTTTACTGTAATTTACATATGTAAACAGCGTTTTGCATCTTTAACTTTCAAGATATCTCGAAAAGACGTGATCATTTTTACTTTTTTTTTACTAATATAACATTTTGTGTACAAAATTGAACTTAATTGAATTATCATAAAGTGTTTGTCGATGGATGACGTTGCAAAAAAGTATAACCAAAAAGGATGAATTGGTTAAACGGTTCTTAATTGATGCTTTGAAAACTTAATCGTTTCCTTAAAAATCTGTGTGAGGTCTAAACGTTTTTTTTTGTGCGAAATCACGATTTCTTTTTTAACACTTAATTAAATGAATCAAAAATCGCAATGATTTTGTTCTATTTAGTAGTTTTTAGTAACATAATCTCCTTTTTAATCGGTCCATTACCCCAGTAAATACGGTTTTACGGTAAACTGAACATCAACCTTTTTATTCTCCCTATTTTTTTCTCTCTCGTAAGGTGAGATCTTCTCACCATTCTTGTTCTCGTGTGGTTTAAGTATCGGATTTTAAAAGGTGTACTGTAACCGATTAGCGCCAACAGAGGACAATTTGGGTGTCCTCGGAACTCACAATGAAAGTTAATCGAATAGGACGTATGCAAATTCTTTTAGGAAGAAGATCAAATTTTAAATTGAAAGAAAATCGAAAAAAAAATTTTTTAGGTGGATTTTTTTACAGAAGCCTATCGACTCTAATGAGCCGTTTGATAATTCCATCAATCAACTTTTGGGGACAGTTTGTGTGGGCGGATCGCATGCGGAACTAAACGTAGCCCACACAAGAAGAATTTGATTGCTGAAGAAACCGCAACAGTTTTTCGAATCCTTTACGGTTTCGGCAATTAACTCGAATTTTTTCCTAAAAAATTTTTGCTTTCAAGATTAATGAATCCAGATCTTTCCCAAAGATTTCCCATATTAAGATATCATTTCGTAATCGGTAGCTTTAAACTATTAATCTCCATTAGATTTGGAACATTTCAAAAAATATTTCTATAATTCTTTTCATTTGAATTTTTTCCTACGTCATCAAGCGATGTTTGGTTAATCGATTATAACACATTTTTCTCTTTTTAGCGGGATGTAATCGCCCCCGTTGAGTCAATTAAGGAATCAAAAGCCGAAAAGTCGATTCGAGACTGATTGAATAATTGACACGCGGGAGTTGAAAAAATTCGATTTACAAAAGATCGACCAGTAGGGGTTGATTTATTCATTAACCCCGTCTACCGTTGTCTGGAAAAGAACCGGATTCGGTTGAATGGAGAATAGAAATCAACGAAAGAATCAGCTCAATAAAAAGAATTTACAGTTACTCATTTAAAAAAAATTAAACAGTTTTGAAACTTTAATAAAAAAACATACTCAACAAAGATGTACAACAATAATGATAATACAGGGTGTTTCTGTAAGTCGTGGCATAATTTTAATCACGATCGAAGGAGTGTTCTCTTCTTTTCCTGGTCTCGTGGATGTCCGTGGTCGTCCAGAACGTTTCTTGTTGACGTTCTGGACGGTTCCATATGCTTCAAATTTGTCCCTGATGCGTTGGTGGTGGTTTTGCGAATTCTCTTTTGAGTCATCTTTGCACTTCAATGACGTTTTCGGTCTTCCAATAACATTTCAGGACAAACTTTCTCTCTTCCAAACTAAGTTGATTTTCTGCCATGTTGTGATTAATTAATTACACCTGAAATACTAAAAAAGCAATATGTTAGCGATAGTTAAAGTGTGAGTACATTTTTTTGAGACATAAAGCTACAGGGGAATGTAAAGAACAGCTAAATAACAAGCACAAAGTTTTTTGTAAAGTATTACACATAAACAAATAGACAACATTTCTCAACAACAGTATTTTTATAAGCTGGAATGATTGGCTTATTGCAAATCTAAAGATAAATTTTGATTTCCGCCAAAATTATATAGAACTTTTTTTTCTGTTGATTTTGATAACTTTATAAGAAAAACATTTAGGAGCACATAAAATTGATTTATTGTGTTAAAATAGAATGTTGAAAATGGGGTTTGAATTTTTTCACCTTCCGGTTCGGACTATGATTAAAGTAAACGGAGGGCACAATTTATGGTCTTTGGGATGGTAAAATTGCAACCCTCTCTTGAATAGTACCTGTACAAAATTTGAGTCATTAAGACGATTTAAACCCTTAAAACCTAAACAAACTCATATCACCGGAAAAAAAATTTAAAATTTTCTTTCATAAAACTGACAAAATTTGTGACAATCCTAAATTAACCGGAAACAAATTTCTGACCTAAATCTTCGATTCTGAAAGGAAAAAAAATGTAGTTCAAAATTAGATTGCGTGTTGGTGAATTGGAGAAATAACAAACGGAATTAATGAATGAAAGAAAATGATTGGGAAAAATAAGGTAATAACCGACCGCACAATAAAGCCCTTTTTTGTCTATAATCAAATTAATTGTGATTGGTTGGGACCTTTTGGAAGTATTTGAAGAGTCATCGAGTTCTTCCAATAACGCGGCTTGTTTGTTTTGCCACTAAACTAACGAGGTGATTTCAGTTGAGGACTTCGAAATTTTTTTGCCATTGATAAAATTGACATCAGTAAAAACTTGAAATAAAAATACAGAAAAAAAGAGAAAAAATTTATTAGTTAATTAAATATTTAAATTTTATTATTTTCCAAGTATAATTTTTCTTGAAGCACCAAAGTTTTGTCCAGCTTGACTAGCACCTTTATTTGTACCAGCTTGAAGTCCAATAATAGCTTCCCCAGCTCTTAATTGTTGTTCAGAAAATTCTCTTTTATTTTCTTCTGAAGGTCTTGGTCCCAAAAATGGCCCTTTCCACTCAGGATGCTTATAAGCTGTTCTTCCAATTGCAAAAATCGTCGTCGTCACCAAAGCAATATTTTTATTATCCCACAAATCCGTGGTTTGAAACAAATCAACATCTGCAACTCCATACTTTGTACAAGCTTTTTGAAACCTAAAAAAGAATTTAATAAATATCACATTTCTGTTATGCTCTCCTGGTTAAGTTGAGGTATATTGTTGACTGTTTTGACGAAGAAAGGAAGGGGTAGTACGAAAACGATAAAATCTGCTCTACATAAATCATCCAGTATGAACGTCTTGTAACAGGACAACAGAAGTTTGAGAGACGTATTCAGAAATTTATTTGAAGAATGTATCTAACATACACGAATGAAAAAAGGAATTGTGCCAAGAATTAAATCGATTAACAAGTACAGGTGTACTTCGAACAAAAGAATGAAAGAAGTTTGGGATCATCAAGTAGTGCAATTGCCTGGAATTTTATTAGGAGAATATGTCTTTAAGGAGGTTAAAACAATCCGATTTAAATCGATTAATTTTAATTTAAGTAGGCAACCAAATTTGCAAGTGTGTAAAATCGGTTGCCTATGTTGATAATTAAATATTTATTTTAATAAAATGATAATTTTGATATATTAATTTATTAAAATAGTAATTAACTTAATTAGCTTAAAAGAAAGTTGTTTTGGTTAAATTTTGTTAATTATTAATTTCATTGTTAGTTTATTGAACCATTTATAATCAAGAGACATAAATAATTAAAATTATTCATATCTAAAGATAATAATCCATTTAATCCCGTCAATAAAACATTCCAGAAATAGCTTGATCTCGATTCGAATATATTTCATCATTTGGCAGCAAACGAACTCGTCACCGCCTAAAATAATCTCCCGGATTATTTCACTGTTTACGTATCCGATTATGATATTTGGCGAAAAGCCAGGGTAAACTGAATCCGACTTGTTCTATCTACATCATCTTTCGTTTAAACTTTAAATAAAATTTTTCTTTTGTAACGATTTCCGTTGCAAACAAAGCGGGATTTCGAGGGAGAGAGCTTGCTATTCTGAAGTTCGGGATATCTCTAGATATTCATGTTATCCTGGTCATATGTGAGATGTCATGTAACCCTTCCTTTCCATATCAACTTAATATATATGTGGGGATATTTTATTTTACATTAAATAAGTTAATTTTTAACGTACTGGCTAAGATTGTCCATTAATTTATAATCTCCTCCTGATGTATTGATTTTGGTGATAATTCCTGGTTGTAAACGGTTCATTAATTGACAAAGAATAATACCGTCGCGCAAAACGTCTTCGTATGGAACTCCTGGAGGAAATTTCATACCGGTTACGGATTCTATCCAAGCTTGAGCTTCTTTTTCTTGTTCAGGATCACGTTTTCCAGCAACCTAATACAAAAAAAAGAGAAATAATTTTTTTTTGTCATCTTAATATCGATAGGATTTCAGAAAGGAAATTTTTGGGGGTGAAAAGGAACGTTTTATTATGATATACCAAATTTTAAGTTTAAGATATACCAATTTACCACAACGTGTTTCATAAATTTTCCAAACATCTTGGTTTATTTTAAAAGCGAGTTAAAATTTATTTTTGGATATAATTTATTACTACTTTATACATAGAAATATATTTATCAATTATTTTTTATAAAAATTTCCATTTAAATGACTTAAACAAAGAGTTATTCTTAAATTGCAAAGAAAATAGACGAACAGACTTACTGTTTCTTTCCAATAAAAATCAAGCATTAAAAAGATGTAGTTTTTAGTACAAATTTGAAAAAAAAATTGATGAACCGATAGGCTTATGATGTCAGCCAACAAGTGTTCAACGCCTCCACACAGAACGTTTTCATAAAGTCGAACGCGTCTGGCACAAACGCTTCAGTGTATCGAAAGCTTTTCAGCCTTCAGTAACTCTCTAAATTTCACCCCAGGAAAAAAATTAATTCAAACAATGTCGGTAAGTTAAACAATTGATAAAAATAAATGATTTGAAATTATTTTTTATAAGCCGATTTCTAAATTTGCTAATTATATCTAAGCTAAAAATAGTTTTTGAGATGCAACGTTCGCGTTAGTGATAGTTTTAAAATTAGAAATGACAGCAAAAAGTTTTTTTCCTTCAACTTTAATATTTTTCAGAAACGGAATAAGGATTTAGAATCTGAAGTTTTAAATTGGATTTTTGCGTGTTTGGGGGAACCAGTTCCAGCTGGCGAATTTGAAGATATCCTCAAAGACGGAGTTGTTCTTTGCAATTTAATCAATAAACTTCAACCTGGATCCGTTAAAAGGATTCAAAAAAAAGGTACCAATTTCCAACTTATGGAAAATATCCAAGCTTTTCAAGCCGCTGTGAAAAAATATGGAGTTCCTCAAGAAGAAATCTTTCAAACAGCCGATTTATTTGAAAGGCGTAATGTAGCTCAAGTAATTATTTTAATTGTTTTCTTTTTGATCTTTTGTAACTATTTAATTATTTTTTTAAGGTTGCTCTTTCATTATTTGCTTTGGGAAGATTAACTCAAAAGCATCCTGAATGGAATGGACCAACTTTAGGACCAAAAATGGCTGAGAAGAATGAAAGAGCGTTCACTGAAGAACAATTAAGAGCTCACGAAGGTGAATTGAACCTTCAAATGGGTTATAATAAAGGCGCCAGCCAATCTGGACATGGTGGATTTGGAAATACAAGACATATGTAAAAGAATGAATAAGATTTTCATAAAGTATTTATATTTTTTTAGATAAAACCTAACTTTTTAACTTATTTCTTAACTTATTTTTGAACTTATTTTTTAACACCATTCATTTTTATTCTATTTTTATCTATATTTTAATTTGTAACTCTCATTTTATGATGACTCTTCTTAAGATGATAAATAAAAAAATATCGCTGTTAGAAGAAAAAAATTGTTTTTATTATTATTTTTGACTTGGGTTCGTGTGAAAAACGTTTTCGTCAGATTTACATCACACAAAACTTGACAAAATCGGCCTCGTCGAGTGCACACCAATTCTATTTTAGCCGGACTTTGTGAAAACATATGGGGGTTCCAAAAATAAAATTAGAAACGTGTTTGTAAACGTCGTCGTGTATTTTGGACGACGTTCTCTAACTCTAAGAAACTATTCCTAAAGATGAAACGGTCTATTTTTATTTTATTTTTCCGTTTCTTCCTACTTTCTCGCATATATCTTACAATTTACTTCGCTTCTAAGATGAATTTTTATCTCAAAACTTTTTAGAATACATATATCGTTTATTATATATCATTTTAAAGGTCGAGATGTCAGCTTTAATTTGGTATATAAATCGTTGCTTCAATATCGTAATCTCATTAAATGGGTTAATTACAATTAAATTACAATGAAGAAATGTTTAAGATTAAAAGAAAACTAAGTTATTTAATTTTTTTCTATATTACTGAATGAAAACTGGCCTTTAGTCAATCGACACAGTTCTTTAAGACCGCGACGAAGAGAATTGCGTAATTTTGGGCACCGTACCGGTCGAATGGATGTAGTGAAAGTGTACCCCAAATGGACCCACCAAGAAACGATCAGAAATGTTAACCAAAACAGACCGAGACGGTCAGTTCGCAAAGAGGAGTGTTGAGAAAACGTTAAAAAATAAAAATGTTGAATCAATCATCAATCACTTTGTTGTTTCTTTGTGTAGCTTTCATAACGAGTTTTTCACTTTCAAATTCAGTGTCAATTATAACTGAAAAACGTGAGTGATGATTATTATAAGATTTTTGATGAGACAAAAAATCTGTTTTAGCTCATTATGTAAATACGTGTAAAATTAAAGAAGAAAATTTTATTAATTGTTCAACTAATGCTGTTCAAAAACTTTTTGATGAAATTCCTAATGGTATATCTGACATTGGGTTAGAACCGTTGGATCCATTAAAAGTTCCAGTTATAAAGGTAATGTTTTTCAAAGATTTATAAAAAAAATAATTTCAACATTTCCTCGTGTGAAGACATAAAATAAAAAGTTACGCAACATTAGTAAAAGTAGGCGATCTTATAGAAGTTGTTGTGCTCAACAGATAATCAGTCTTGTGTAATGATGTTGTATGGAAATTTAATTGAGTAAATGAGGAAAGAGTTATTTTGTAGTAGAATCGTATTTTTCAATTTATTTTTTGCCTTTACTAGTAGGTAGTGTTTATTACCCACCTTATTTTTGGCTAAGAACCATGTTTTTGAGCCAAAAATAAATTTTATAACTTCACGTTCGACATTAAGCAAGTTTTTTTTTGTTGTTCGTCTACGATTTTCTGGCAAAAGCTTTTTGGCATAAATTTTCTACATAAAATGTGTTTAATATTTAACAAAAGGAAACATAATCATAAAAAACTTTTTCATTCATATTTCAGATTTTACAAGGAACCGGCCCAGTAAACGTAAATGCATCTTTAACAAACGTCACAGTTTTGGGATTTGGAAATACTCATATTAAATTAAATAACGTTGATCCTAAAACTCACGATTTTTACACTGAATTACATTTACCAAGATTAAGAATTGATGGGAATTATAAATTATTGGGTAGAATTTTGTTGATTCCTTTAAGGGGAGCTGGAACTTGTTGGTTTGATGCTAGTAAGTTTAATTAATTAATTAGTTTTATGGTAATTTTAATTTTTTTAAGAAAATTTGGATATCGTTGTGAAAAATTTTGTTGAATTAATAAAACACGATGGTTTTCATTTCTTTAAAATAACGGGGATTCAAGTTAAATTTACAATAGGTGGACTTAATTTGTACATGGGAAATCTTTTTGATGGAATTAAAGCTTTAGGTAAGTAATAATTTTATTTATATTTATTATTTATATATTTTTAATTTCAGAGGAATCAACGAATCGCTACTTAAACGAAAACTGGCAAGTATTAGCAGATTCTTTAAATCCAATATTGACCAGGACGATTGAAAACATAATGTTTGATATTTTGCGTAAAGTTTTCGATAACATTCCAGCGGATTTCTTCATAAGTGATTTGGCCTCATAAAATAAACCTATTTTATAAGTAATTATAATTTGAAAGTTTCTTAGTTAATTTTTTTCTAATTTACAAATCGATTTTATTAATTAACTTATTAGAAGAACAAATTAAAATGTGTTAAAAAAACATTGCGTTTAAAAATAACCCGAATCTGACACATTTTCTTTACACTCAAAAATGTAAACACTCCCGAAATAATCCCCCTTGAGTGACTCACTTTACACGAAATTATAAAAAGCGTTCTCCTATTTTGGTAACGCTAATTAATTTTTAATATAAATTAATTAAATTAGTCTAAAGGTAATTCGTTTTCAAAATAGAATTTGTGTTAGCCAAAAATGACGACGTGGATTAATGGTGATAAATTACTGGTTTATAATAAGTAGATTACATACCTGCCATAAAGGTCTGCTAGGTCCAGGCATTTTCAATTTTTTTTATTTACACAGAAAAATGTCTTTGCAAAAAGTTGTGAATTAAAAGTGACGCGAGTAACTCGTTGCTCTCCACTGGTTTTTAAATACAAATGTGCTAGCGTATGGCAACGCTTTCTTATATCGTGGCGCAAGATGACCTACAACGCTTTTCACGGGGTCATCTGAAAACAGCCCACACTGTTTTTTTTCTCAGGGTGACTAACATCCCAAAAATGCTTTATTTACGCACTTTATTTTCAAAATGTATCATTTTGGCAAAGAAAATTCATTTGAATCAACATGTACATGAAGTTATTGTTAATTTTGAACAACTTTTTGAAACAATTTTGATTAATCTTTTATTATAATTATAATAATTTTAAACAACAATATTTACAATTTAATAATTCCGACTTATTTTTGAAGAAGATTGCAAAATAGAAGATTTGGATTAACTGGATAAGACATTTTTCAAGAAAACTCAATTAGATCAAAACGAAACGAATTTATTAATACAAATTAATACAAAAATAATAATAAAACCAATTATTTTTAATTTTTTATGGATTTATTATATTATAAAGGTGGTGAATGATTTTCTTGTTGAATTCTCGTCGTTTGCATATCATCGTAAGCAATCGTAAATATACTTTTCTTCTGTGTAGCAGCCGGTCTTGTTAAAACAATACCTGAATCAACATCATCTTCCATCCTTTTAGGATAAACCATTTCAAATCGATTCTTTGAGTGTTGTATCAACGGGTGATCTGGCCCATTTGACGACAATCCTTTCTTATCAACGCCGTTTCTATTCGATTTAAACATCGTTTCAGAAACAGGAATTTTTTTAGTAACTTTCGTTGTTACACTACTCCTTTCAGATCCAGTATCTTTATCTTTTTTCTCAGCTTTACCTTTTTTGTACCATTCCATGTATCGAGAATTAGAACCTCTTCTTTCTTTCAGTTTATCGCGTCGATTTTTTTCGTTAACGTAAACATCTTTTTTACTCAAGTCTAAGTTACTTTGAGATCGTAATTTTTCATTTTTTCTTTTTATATTACTAAGATCCATTTGTGATTGATATTTTATTGGTTTCATTTCAACTTCTTCTTCTTCTAAGGAATCATCTGAAAATGTTTGTAAATCACTTTCAGTTCCTATTTCACTTTGTAATAAAGACGCTGAAATTTCTTTTAATACTTCTCTTCTTAAAGCCGATTTTGACATTTTATTTAATCTTGAATCACTTTTTGTTTCATTTCTTAATTCATTTTTTAATTCATTTTTTATTTCATTTCTTGATTCATTTTTTGATTCATTTTTCACTTCCATTTTTGATTCATTTTTAGATTTTTGTTTTTGTAAATCTTGATTTTGCGATTTAACCGATTGTTTTTTCCTTAATAAACTAGTTCTTGTGTGTCCAAAACTTAATTTCCTCGCATCGTTAATCGAATTTTTTTCGTTATTATCTAAATTATTTTCAGATTCTTCTTGAATTGGGGTGTTTATTTTTCTTCTTAACGGTATCTTTCTTTTCCTTCGATTTTTTGTTCTTTCCTCGTCTTCAGAAACGTCGCTAAATTCATTATCGGATCGCGTTTTTCTTTTTGGTGGTCTTAAAAACAATGGTTCCGTTTGCGTTTCAACGTCATGATCGGTTTGTGTACCCGCTGGTAAAGATTGCGTTTCTAAACGAATTTCTCGTTCTCTTTCGGCTAAGAATTGTCGTAATAAAGCGTTTTGTGTTCTTAAACTTTGTTCTAAAACTTCGTTTTCCGATTGTAATTTAGCCGCGATGTTCAAGTTTGATCGATTTATTTCTACGTTTTGTTGTTGATCAATAAATCGTTTTAATAAGATATCTTTTCCGTTATCTATTATGTATGGTTGTTCTTGTATTAAAGTGATTGGTCTTTGTTGCTCGTTTCCTCTTGTAATTAATCTTAAGATATCAGCATTTCCTTCGCGGATATATAATTGATCTCTTGGTATTTCTAAATTGTTATCGATTACCTTTTGCTGTTTACGGTGCCTTTCGACGTGATCAGATCCTCGATCAGCTTCGTGCCTCCTAATTGATTCTGTATCCACTAATTCCGGGCTCCAAGCTTCGCGGCGTCCAAACCATTCGGCGACTTGTACTGATTTATTTTCGGTTTGGCCAGAATTTTCAGTGATTAACTGTGTTTTACGTTTCTTTGTATTCACATATAATGGGCACCCTTCACAAATGCAACAAAGCAAAGCGATAACTAAAATGATTAAAAGAAGAATTAGGATTACCCAAAAAATCCACCATAAATTTAAACTTGATTTCACAATCTTTTCATCTTCATTAATCGTGCGTTTATCTAATATTTTTTGTACTTCCTTGATATCGATGATTGACGATTCATTCGGTACCGTTACAAATATAACGCTTCGATCTTGATTATCTTTGTAAGGGCGAATATCTTCGATATTAACTTTTTGGCCTACGATTGTGCTTAAAGTCTTTTCAAGTTCATTTCGATTTGGGTTTCGGCCGGAAACGACAAACATCATTTTTCTGAATTTATTTTCCGGTGGATAAATTCTTATTTCAACCGTGTCGGATCGTCTTGGTATCCCACCATCGTAAGCACGACCGTGTAAAGTTACCAAAGTATTAAAATTCCATTTTTCAACGATTTCTAATTCACCATTATCTTGATTCAAAAATAACCCATCAATCGATTCTATTAATTCATATTTAACAAGATTATTAGGCGATGTACTGTCAAAATCAACCGCTTTTATTATCGCTTTGACCGTAAATTTTTTTCGATCATCATCAACGATAAATTCGTAAGGATTTCTTTCAAATCGAGGTGAATGATCGTTAACGTCGATTATTTTGAATTTTATTTTTGCGGTTGAAGACTTATTCGATGCTTTCGAAGTAACTTTAACCGTTAAATTAATTGAATCATCAATTTCTGAATGAATCATATCCGGTTTTATTAATGTTATCACCCCGGTGGTTTTATCTAAAGAAAAAGCGTCGCTGTTTTTACCTGATAACCCGCTGTATTCAACACCATCTTTATTATAAGCCTCAATTTTTAAAAGTGACGTCCCAAAAATTGCGTCTTCAGCTAAATCAGCTTTCCACTCATCCATTCTAAACCTGGGTTGATCATCATCAACATCTATAATCCTTATTTTTACACGAGCTAAACTTGAAGATTCTTTAGAATCAAATTTTCTTAAAGAAACTTCAAATTCAATCGACGTCTTTAACTCATAATCTAATAAAGAATTATTTTTTACTTTAATTTCAAAAGACGAAGATTCGGTGATAACATTCGGAGAAATTTCGAATGTTCCATTTTCTTTGAGTATCTCCAAAATGAAGGCGCTTCCTTTTGGAATCGTTATAAAAGGGGATGATTTTAAAGATAAAGTAGTTCCCGGTGGTGAATTTTCTTCTATTGTGGCAGTGTATTCGGGTTGGTTAAATTTAGGAGGAGTATCCTTTAATGGATTCGGAGGTAGAAGAGCTAATTGGACGTCTGTCGATTGAGATGGAGCATCGTTTTGGTTTCTGCGAAGTTCCTTTGCTCGAATTGTTAATAACAAAGGTTTAGAAGGAGAAATCGTTGATAAAAGATCTTCAATTGGATGAATTAATTTTAATTCACCTAAAAAAATATTAATTTTATTTTAGTTTTGAAGTCATATAAAGAAAAACTCTCCATGTTTTCGTAGAATCATGTGCAACACCACAAATTGCGCAACAACACATCATTTAGATGTGTGCACGTCAACAAAGTATGAAACTAGAAGAGTTTTTCTTTTATTTGGTAAAAATTTGACATGTCTATCTTGCTTTATTGCTTTCCTGTGATCGGTCAAAAGTGCACCATGACTTTTTGGACACTGGATATTGAAAATTTCGATTCTAGATTGCTCTAGATTAATTTTTTTCTGCTGTGCATGGATCTGCATCCAGTCTATCACCATCAATATGATTAAAATATTTATGAATATGATAGTGACTATGATTTTCTGCTTAACATTTTTGAAAAAGTTATCATACGAGCTAAGAAACAATGAATATTAACTTAACTTGAAAAGACTGCTCTAACAACTGCATTGTGACCATCAACGAAAATCATAAATGATTAATTTGTTGTCATCGTACATAAATCCATAAAAACTTATTGATTTCCAACTTTTCTATTTTTATTTTATTACTCACCGGTTAATTCCTCGATTTCAAAGAAACCATTTATAGAAGAATTTTGATGGTCAACCAAAAAATAGCGTAAATCCCTGGGATTTCCTTTATCACCATCTTCAGCTTTTACCGTTAATATTGTATCGCCAATTTTCAAATTTGGATCTAAATCGGTAGTCGGTGGCGCTAAAGTAAAAATTGGAGGCGAATCTTGTTCGTCTAAAACCGAAACGAATAACGGCCAAGTCGCAATGTTTCTTGTATCCGTTGATCGATCAGTCCAAGGATCCTAAAAGAATTTAATGTCAAAAAAAATGTGTTTGTGAAGGTCGAAATTAACTTAAAATGGAACGTGAAGACATGCAAATGGGTAACGTTCATGATGTCATATGCAAATATGAGATGTTTTTGAAAATTATGTTAATCATGATCGATCAAAATGCATCATCACGCAAACGGAAATATTATACCGTTGATGTCCTCAAAAAGAAATTTTTTTCTTGGACACATTGCGTGTTAATTTCCAATTAAAAAGAAATAACGGCGAATAAGAAATAAGGTTAAAGACCTTTTCCTCTAAATTTCCATTTAATTAACTTAATTCTTACATTTGCATAAACAAGAAGATGATGTGACGGTGATTTCTCATAATCCAACCGCGATACAAGCACAATTGTTCCTTCAACATCCCGTCCATTCACGATTCTTTGCCGCAATCCGAATTCCGGGGGTGCAAAAAGTTCCAAAAGAACTTTCTTTTTACCCCACGTATTTCCTTGAGCTCTCAAAGTAACCACATCTGAATTTCTATGCGATAATTCGCTAATCGAAACCAAAGAAGGTGCCCCTAAAATGTTTTAAATTTATATTGCCGAAATTATTATTATTATTATTACCCGGAAAAATTTTTTCAATAGGTGTCGTAGCATTTGTTGCTTTAAACGAACATTCCATCGTTTCAACATCACCTTTACCATTTTCAACAATAACCGTAAAATCATAAAACCTTTCAGGAACAAGTTTACTTTTTAAAACAACATTAGCTTGGCAAATTGAATTAAATTTCGTACAATTCAACGTTTCCAACTCAACCACATTGTTAACAGTCGCTAATTTAAACACCAAAGGATAATCAAAACCCGTATCGTACGCTTTCAACCTGTAGATAACCGATTTAACCGCCGCATCAGCCGGCACAAACACGTTTCTCATCAAAGCTGTGCTATCAAATTTCGGAACCCCCAAAATTATTTCAAAAAATAACCCCAAATACAGCCAACAAACGAATTCCTTCATGGTGTTATCTCAAATTTTTAATGAACTCTACAAAATCTCGGTCTTTTATTAAGACGCGTTTAAGATTTTTCAATTCGAACACGTTCGCGAACATCGCACGGTGGAAAACTGAACGTGTTACGGAGAAAGAGGCGAGGAAGGCGGTGAAAGTGGAAACTTGTACCCTAGGAGTATATGGTAATGATGTCACGGTGGTCAGTTAACCCCCGGAGTGGTCGCTTGGAAACCGAAAAGGAAAACATACACGTGAGAAATCGATTTGGGTAAAGGGGCCCACTTTAGAAAGGTGGCGGAGTGCTTGACCACACATTTTCTTTTTGAATGAAGCGGGGGCAATTTTAAGAATGAAAAACAGGGATTTCGAAGAATTTATGATTTCTTCATATTAATTTTAATAAATTCATTTCATTGATTTAAAATAAATGAAATAAATGGATGTTATTGAAGAGAACTGGATGATATAGATGTGTACTTTAGCAAATTTAAAACACTATCTCTGAAAAATCGAATTCTTAAGATCTTGTTCTCAAAATTTGTTCATTTATAAAGAAAAGCATTCTCTATTAAGTGGTGAAATCTAATTTGGAAAATATCTTGTAGTTTTGAAGATATCAATTTTTAAACATGATCAAAATTTTAGTACTCGTTCGTTTATTGGGTAACTTTAAAAATTTCTAAAAAATCGGTTCCTTAAGAGCTTAACAACGTCTTCAAAACACTATTCTTCGCAGACAATCAAATAATTTTTGCTACTTGCTCAATAGCATAAGTAGAGATTACAACTGCGAAATCCCTAAGACAAAAACAAAAACAATGGCATTCATAGCAAATGAACCAATAAGAACTAAGATGATATATGAACACGATAAGGAGATACATCACAAATGGACAATCTTCACAAGAATGTATGGAACTATTAGAGGAACTTTGGGTAATAAATGTAGGAAGGTTACCCAAATGGAATTTTATAAGACAATGGCAATACCGACCCTGATGTATGGCAGCGAAGCATAGGTGATAAGGAAAAAGGACTTAAGCAAGATAGAGTCCAAGGAAAGGAAGTTTCTAAGAGCGACCAAAGGCTATAACAGATGGGATCATATCAGTAACGAAGATATTAGAAGGGAACTGGAAATATTCGCAGTTAACGATAAAATCAAAGAATACAAAGAGAAATGGATGGACCACGTGCAGAGAATACAGGATGACAGATTTAATAAACTGTTTCATGGATAACTTAGTAAATTTCTAATCGTCGGTAGCGTGGCCGAGCGGTCTAAGGCGCTGGTTTAAGGCACCAGTCTCTTCGGAGGCGTGGGTTCGAATCCCACCGCTGCCAAAATCTCTTTTATTGTTATTTTTTGTCATTTTACACCATAATAATTAAAAACTTTCAAGCAATCATAATACATTTTGATATGAAAAGTTGTGTATTAAAATTAACAAATTCTTGTACATTTTCAATGGTTTTATTGATCCAAGTAAAAAATTTCTCTCTCTCCATGCCTCTTTAGTTGAACGTGGCGCCTCCAATAACCCGCGTTTAACCAGGAGAACAGGAACCCTGAGGAGATATCGAGAAACCTGCTCCGTTCTTTTTGTATGTAGCGAAGTGAAAGGAGAATACAAATACAAAATACTCGAGTTCACTCTGAGAATTAATAAAATACCGGATGACGTGGTAATGTTCTGCTTGATTCTTGGCGGAGTCGCCAAAAATGAATAAGAGACACATACAAAAAATTTTCGCAAATTTTCGATTGTAACTAGTGGAATGTGAGTTATAATCAGAAGGGTATCGACCACCTATCGGGGCCGATTGGTTACCTTCCGGGTTGTTCTGACCTCCTGGTATTCCAGATCGGGAATTCGAAGCGTCCTGATAGATTTCCGAAGTCAATTGAACTTCCAGGTTCGATTTTCGGTATAAACTTTTAAAATAATGCGTTTTTTCTACTTTACAGCAAAACTTAAGATTGCTATTTCAGATTCAAAACGCTTCTAGAATAGTTTAAATTGCGTGTACAACCTCAAGATATTTCTTATGTTCTCATAAATTATTCATTCTCTTTAAATACCTTAACTTTAAACAAAAATATTTTATTTTTCAAGAATAAATTTATTGAAAAAAAATTAACTATTTACATACAAATCACATCTTAACAACAACATACGAAAATATATCACAATGTTTTTATGATAAAAAATGTTTTAAACAACAAAAAATAATAAAAAAGTAGTTATAATCTCTCAACGAATTTCATTCGAACAGATCCTGAAGGAGCCATTAAAAACTGACATTCCATATTAAAATTAGGATCTGATTCGATTATAAATCGACGTAAAATCTCGTCTAAAATAACTGGTAAAGATTGTTCGATAAATCTTTTACCTGGACAGGTTCTTTTACCATAACCAAATGGTAATACTAAAAAATTTGAATTTTGTAAAGTTTTTTGTCTTTTTTCTTCATGAATCCACCGATCTGGTTGGAAACTTAACGGTTTCTCGAAATTTTCTTCATCCAAACAAGCCACTCTTGTATGGCAAACAACCACGCTCCCCGCTGGAACATCAAAACCGGATAAAACTAAATTTTTAGCGGTTATTCTAGCCAAACAATGAGCTGTGGGATATAACCGAAATGATTCGTTAATACAAGCTCGAATTAAATTAAATCTCTCAGTATTTTCTAATGAATTTATACGTTCTTGTAAATGTTTATCACTTCCAATCAATTGTAAAACAAATATTAATGTATTTCCTAACGTATGAATACCAGAAGCTACAAAATCAACAATTGCAGCCGTTTTTTCCCTTGTATCTAAATCAGCTTTTAAAATCGATTGAAAAACAGCACTATTTTTTGTAGAATCATCAGCCGTTTCAACTAATTTTAAAGCAATATTATAAATATCTTCTTCACTTTCTTCAAGAAGTTTATAAGCTTCAGTTCTAAATAATTTCCAAAACGGTAAACCATAATAAGTATCTCTGCAAGCGATGAAATGTTTTTGTACAGCTTGGGCCATTTTTGTTGAGATTTTATTCGTTACTTCTGGTACAAGAAATCCCATTCTTCGTGCTAAAACCAACGCACACATTGATTCCAAACCCAAACGTTTCGTTAACGTTTCAACACTGAAAATATTTCCTGAAGAATCTTTCGAAAATTTGATTAATTCACAAAAATCTTGAGCCATTTCTTTACATTCAGATAAATATTCTGAGATTGTGTGAGGACTTGTTAAGGTTGATGTTAAATTATTTCTTAAATGATGCCAAGTTTCACCTAAAACATAAATTATATTAAAATTTTAGATTAATAATTTAATAAACATAAAAATAATTTAAATTTAATAAAAATTCCCGGTATTATATATTTATTTATATATATATATATCTATATGTATTTAATAATTCTTTTTACCTTGTTCATTAATAATTCCCATACTTGAATATCTATCGGGTCGACTTTTTCTGTAATAAGCAATAACTTCCGTTGGTGGTCTCATCGGATATTTTCCACTACACTTCAATACTTTTTCAATATCTTCCTTTTTAACAACATTAATAATCGGTATATTCCATAAAGCTTCCTCTTTAGCGATGCTGCCGTACTTTCTAAACATATCCTCGTAAAATTCGTGTACTTTTTCCATTTTGTAACCACCCAGTTTCGAGAAGACCCATCTTGTGCCCAAAACGGGTAACGAAAAGGGACCCGGAATCGTCCGCGAAGAATTCTTTTTTAATTTGTTTAGTTTTTTCGAATAGTTTACCCAAAATAATATTAAAAGTATTAAAAAAATTGTGGGAGTTAATGAAATTGTTGTTAAAAATGTCGCTGCGTAATGTCGCATCTGAAAATAATAAAAAATTTTATTTAATATTTTTAACCGATTTAAACTGGTTTAAATAAATCGTGCAAAAAGAATATTGTTTAATATTTGGTTTTATTATTACTTTAACTTTTTAATTATCTGTTGGCCTCCTTCAGTTTATTAAATCACATCAGGGTTCACTGCACTTGACTCGCATTAAGTGATACTTGTAAATAAATAAAACTTACGTTGTATTTTATTTCATTTATACTTGTTTAACGACCGGACGATGATTATAAAATTACAACTTCAAAATTAATTAAAAAAAATACAATAAAAAATTTCGTTATAGTCATGTTGGAGATGATGAATCGACTAAATTTTTATGTTTTTCACTTTAATGACTATTTTTTTTAATCTGCTATATTATGTTTACTGATTTTGATAAGAATGTTTGAATAACTTGGAATTTAATATGTTTACGAACATTTTTATCAAATATAGACTTATTAAAAAAATGTAATGTCATTCATCAAATCCAGTTATGTTATTCTTATAAGGATAAATTTTTATGGTTTCTATCGAAAGTTATTTTGTGATATCGTTCGATGTAGCAATATTGTTTTTCTCTGGTTTTCGTAGTCGTAACGTTGATTCCCAAAGAGTGGTCTTGAAGGTTGCTTCTTCTCCCTTGGGGTATAAATTTAGTAACCTATACACACAAATTTGTGTTCAAATTGATCAAGTCGTTAAAAAGATTTCTTCATGTTTTCATACTTTACGCGCGCATGTATAATATAATAAGTTCTTATTTTATTATTGTCAGATTGTTTAATTTTTTAAATATAAAAAATTGATTAAAAATATCACTCGGCGCGGATTCGTTGAGTTAGAAGTTATAAATAACCAAATGTTTTCTCTTTTTATCGTAGGTTTATTTTAAGCCATTTTTCTTCAAGGATCGTTTATAATTTCTTAATCTCATATTTCAATTTAAAAATAACTCCATTTTATGAAAGATTCATAAAAACCTTATTTTACTTAACAATATTTTTTAATTCACCGACAAATGAGTAATAAGTGCGTATTGTTTGTTTAAAGCGAAAAAGGCAACCAATAATAACAACAATCAAATTTGTATGTTTATTTTTTTATGTTGAAATCAAAGCAAAATACAAATCAAGGTAATTTATGAATAGTTAGTGTTAATCGGAACTCGTTAAGTGAAAGACAATGAATTTTTTTTAGTTAAATAAGAAAGTTGTAAAGATACTTTCTACAAGTCGATTTTGATTTGATTAAAATAAGTGAAAGGTTTTTGAAAACGCGAGTGATATTAGAAAAGAATGGTAGGGAAAACTGAAAAACTTACCTCGCGAACAGCATCGCCTGCGCCACCAACGGAAGCATTCATCGCGGAACGACTCCGAATCAGCTCGAAACAACTTCGCGTTATAAATACAACGATATCTTCGTGTTTGTTTTTGTTTCTTTCATTTTTTGTTTTTACGTTGCAACAATAATTGTTTTCACTTTAAACATCCAAAATTTGTTTTAAATTTACACTTGTCCTCTTTATTAAACAAATCTTTTATTTTGAAAACTCAAATTTGGCGACACTAAACTTGTTTGATATTTCGAAAATTTATTTCTTCGAAAATTTTCTTTTATGATACAATGGGTTTTAAGTTGTTCTTCTTCGGTGTTCGTAACGGTTTGAAAATCATGTATTAGATGCGCGATAAACACGGTATGAAGCCAGTTTTATCTAATGGTTCGCTGACCTCCGCGTTGTACTACGTACGAACTAACTATATACGCGGATATCGGCGAGGATTCAGGTTTAAATAGTTCATTGGCTTGATTTTTTTATTCGCAAAAATTCGAGAAGAAAAGCTTTTGATTGCGCGACGTTTTAATATGGAATCTTGTTGAAAATTAAAAGTGGTCTAAAAGGAAATTAAAGAACTACTGGCGACAAAATATTCAACACATTCGATGGCTCGTTTTTCGCTTAAGCAAGCAAGGCCGACGTGAACCCGGCGGCGTGCTCAAAATATCGTGCTAATAACTTGTAACACCTTCCCATCTTCTGGTTCACCTCGAACAGAAATTTGCGGAAGAACAAGGTTAATACAAAAAAATGATATATAAATCTCCTTTTATTTTAGTCAATTATAAATTATTTTAATTAATTACAACAATTCTTCTTCAGCTCGAATATATTCGCCAGTATCTGCTTGATGGAAACAAATAGAAGACATAGGATCGGCATGTTTACATTCAGCTGTGCTTTTAGCAGCTACCCCAAATCCTAGGGGTAAATCAGACATGCTATATACAAGAACTCCACTGTATTTCATAACATTTTCGCTTATTCTCCCTAATCCTGCTTTTGTTATATGATTTCCATACAAAAATTGTTGTTCGGCGGAAGGTTTTAACCAAATTTTACATTGAGCGTAAGGTGCGAGATAGTTTAATGCTGTTATATGCATTCTAAATTTATTTGATTTTGTGAATTTTCCAAAACAAGTCCCCGCACTAATTAGTTGTCCAGGTGGGAACGTTTCCGCTAGTTTTAAGATCTTTTCTGATAAATAATAAACTCGATCTTTTTGCTCTCGGAAGCAGTAGAGTCCATCCGGTCGTTCAATAAGTAATTTTACATTATTTCCAATGCTAAATTAATATAAAACATAAAATTAATTTAATCAGATAAAAATTACCGCCATCTATTAGCAACCAATATGTATTACTAATTAATTATGATTATTTCCATTTAATAATAATAATAACTTACTAATTGGCGAGTTTTTCAAATAAAATCTTGGTACGTTCTTCCGATAATCGCTTCATAGTTTAATTATTACCAAAACTAAACGAAATTATCAATAAACAATACACGTTTTTTAATGTGTTACTTTAGGTTATGTTTGGTTATGTTGTTCAAGCATCAATTCATTAAAGCGCCATCTAGTGTGTTTTATTATAATTTCTTAAATTCTAAATGTTTAAAAAGATATTTTTAAAACCTTCAAATAAAAAAAATAATTATAAACCACTAAATTATAGTATTTATTTATTTATACTATAATTATAAATAAATAAACATTTTTATTTTGTTTGTATTTAGTTTTCAAGCACCATCTCTTAGCTTATTCGAAAACTTGAAACGTCAAGTTGATGTATACACACCACATGTTCCATAACATAACCTCAATCTTTTTTAAATCTCAATTTTAAAAGTTTTGTGAATATTAATAAAGAAAAATGATTCCAAACGAAACTAATACTGACTTAAAACGTCTATTATGTCGTTTAAAATCGGATACGGGCGAAACTGTCGGAGATATAATGGATTTACCCACAAATGTAACTGTGGAACAGCTTTCCTTAATTTGCAACAAACTTTTAGAGCAAGAAGAGAATGTGCCTTATTTATTCTTTGTTGATGAAAAAGAGATTAAAACAGATTTATCAAGTGTGATAGATTTGCAAACGTTAAACACAGAAATTGTTTTGGATATTGTTTATCAGCAACAAGCTGTATTTAGAGTTCGTCCAGTAACGAGATGTACAAGTTCTATACCTGGGCATGCCGAAGCTGTTATTTCAGTGAGTTTTAGTCCTAATGGAAGACATTTAGCAAGTGGTTCAGGTGATACTACTGTTAGATTTTGGGATATCAATACACAAAGTCCTTTATATACTTGTAAAGGTCATAATAATTGGGTTTTATGTATCGCTTGGTCTCCAAATAGTAAAAAGTTAGCTTCTGCTTGTAAAAGTGGTAAATTAATAATTTGGGATCCAGAAAATGGACAACAAATTGGAAAAGCAATGATTGGGCATAAACAGTGGATAACATGTTTAAGTTGGGAGCCCTATCATTCAAACACAGAATGTAGATTTATTGCAACTTCATCAAAAGATTGTGATGTTAGAATTTGGGATACCATTTTAGGTACAACCGTACGTACTTTAGCTGGGCATTTGAAAAGTGTAACCGTAGTAAAATGGGGTGGATCAGGATTAATTTACACTGCATCTCAGGATCGAACTGTTAAAGTTTGGAGAGCTAAAGATGGGATATTATGTCGCACATTAGAAGGGCATGCTCATTGGGTAAATACTTTAGCATTAAACACGGATTATATACTTCGAATTGGACCTTTTGATCCTGTGAAAGACCCCAATGATACAAAACAAAACGATGGTGTTGAAAAATTGAAAGAATTTGCTTATACAAGATTTAAAAGTATAGTTCAAGTTTGTGGGGAAAGATTAGTTTCGGGTTCAGATGATTTCACATTATTTTTATGGGACCCTGAAAAAGAAAAGAAACCTTTAGCCCGATTAACGGGACACCAACAACTCGTAAATGACGTTAAATTTTCTCCAGATGGTAGACTCTTAGCTTCAGCCTCATTCGATAAAAGTATAAAATTATGGTCAGCAAAGAATGGAAAATTTTTAAAAACTTTACATGGGCATGTTCAAGCGGTTTATATGGTCGCTTTCTCAGCAGATTCTAGACTTTTAGTTAGTGGCAGTGCTGATTCGACATTAAAACTATGGAATTTAACAAGTTATAAATTGGAAAGGGATCTTCCTGGACATGCCGATGAAGTTTACGCTGTTGATTGGTCGACAGATGGATCTAAAGTTGCATCTGGGGGAAAGGATAAAGTTTTAAAATTGTGGCAAAATTAATTTAAATATATACAATATTGTATAAGAAAAATTAATCTTTTATTTTTAACCTAAAATGTTTAGGCTATTAAGGTTATGTCAATCTAAGTTGTTGATTTAATTATTTATACTATTTGTATCGATTTTTTAATTATTCTTTATGGATTGAGACTGAATTAAAATTAGAACTGTTATTCTTTTTTAATAATTTAATTAAAATATAAAATTATTGCAACTTTTGTATATCAACGTTATTTGGGTTGCCTAGTTAATTTAAATATGTCAAATATAAACTCTGGTGAAAGGTTATGTTTACCAACAACGTTCTTTATGTTATAATTATCACTTCTTTAACAATAACCTCATAGAATTTATACTAAATAATGTCTATACCATTATTATCCACAACTAGATTGTAAGTGCAAAAATAAATCTACACAAAATTTAATTATTTTAATCCTCAGATTTATCGTGAAAAATGCCATTTATTACCGTTCAAAATTCGTTTATACTCGCAATATTAAACTAAGATATTCTACAGAAGCCACTAGTCAACAAGAAGATGGTAAGGTTTTGAATAATAAAGAAGTTAATGTATTAAAGTTGTTTGATGAGTAGGTTGGACTAAATGGAAAGCAAGTTTGAAGGGATTTGTCCCAATTGGGCTTTGTTTAGTAGCTGTTATGCAATGGAGATATTATCGAAAACGGATGTCAGATCGAACAGCAAATGATTTTGAAGTAAATTGTTATTGCGTGTTACCTTTAAGGATGGTTAGTCGATGGTGGGGTTGGCTGGCAGGTGGATTATGATAATATAAAGCTTTAAAAAGATTAAAAACTACATATTTTTTGTTTTAAGATAAACATATGCCAGAATTTGTTCGTCCCTACATTTATGGTTTATACGCAAACACATTTGGTGTTAATTTATCAGAAGCTGCTAACGATGATTTAAAATCATACAAAACTTTATCAGATTTCTTTTCAAGACCTTTAAAAGACGGTGTTCGTACAATAGATAAAAATTCGTTTTTAGTTTCGCCGTGTGATGGAACCGTTTTACATTTAGGAACTGTTCATACAAATCATGTTGAACAGGTTAAAGGAGTTACATATTCTTTAGAAAATTTCTTGGGGGAAAACACCTGGAATAAAAACAACAAAAAGGAAGATTATCGCGCATCACTTTTACATAAACAGGAAGAAAATCACACTTTGTATCAATGTGTTATTTATTTAGCACCAGGAGATTATCATAGGTTATTTTAAGAGTTTGTTTTTAAATTGTTAATTAATTTTGAGTTAATTAGATTTCATTCCCCAACTGATTGGAAGCCATCACATCGAAGACATTTCCATGGAGAACTTTTATCAGTAAATCCCTTAATAGCACAATGGCTACCGGGGTTATTTTGTTTAAATGAGCGAGCTGTTTATCTTGGGGAATCACAACATGGTTTTTTTTCTTTTACAGCAGTGGGTAATAAAATTCATTCTTTATGTAATTATTAATCTTAATTAAAGAAAAAATTTATTTATTAAAATTTAGGGGCTACAAATGTTGGAAGTATAAAAGTAAACTTTGATAAATCTTTACAAACAAACAGGCCTAAATCAACCCAATTAACGAAAGATAAATTTTTGGGGAGCAATTTATCATTGAAAAAGGGCGACCCCGTTGGAGAATTTAGAATGGGATCAACGATCGTTTTGGTTTTTGAGGCACCACCTAATTTTAAATTTAATATTAAGTGTGGACAAAAAGTTAAAATGGGACAAGGAATTGGAATCGTTGGTCAGCAAAGTTTTACAGAGAGAGTACAACAACGTGAAGGAAATATTTCTAAAAATGTTTTGTAGGATTTATTTGTTAAAATAAGATTTTTGCACATTGTGATAAAATTTATTAATAAATGCTATTAATTATTCTTAATTTATATTGCATTAGCAAGAAATTATTAAACTTAAAATTTATTATCCGCATTTTATTATTTACTTTTTTTACTAAATTGCACAAATTGACAGTAAGTAATGGATTTTTTTGGAAACAGTTTGTGAAAATGGAAGTTTAATGGAAACATGGGATAAATAAGCTGAAGGATCATATATGTAGGCTGGTGGAACTAATCTAGAATCACTTAGAACTCTCAAAAGACTAGGAACATAGGTATAATAGTGCCTACACATAAGAAAGGAGACCAAACCTTATGTAACGACTACTAATTATTCTCCTAAATGTGGCATATAAAGTGCGAACCATTACTAATAGAAGCTTACAGATACTAGCATACGCCGACGACATACAGTGTGTTAATTAATTATCGTACTCGACGTCATCATTGTAAGTATGCAACCAAATACGCAAATCGCGTATTGCAATACGCATACTGTGATATTGGTTGCATACTTGCAATGATGACGTCGGGTAGGATAATTAATTAACACACTGTAGATATAATAGCTAGAACAAAAAGGGACCTCACAGAGGTCTTCAAGGCATTGGAAGGTGCAGCAGGGAGACAAGGACTACAGGTAAAAACTGGAAGGCCAAGGCAGAAGACAGAAGAGAGTGGAAGCTGATCCTAGAACACGCTAAGAGATGAATGGATTTTTTTTGTGTTGGGGCAATTAAAGATTTAAACAGAATTGATGTGAATTGTATTTTTTTGATAATGTTTTTACATGTCATAACGGTTCCCATATCAAAATAATTTGTACATAATATCATTAGATTCGTTTTTATTTACTTACATATTAGACATTAATTTTGTAATCAAAAGAAAATAATATAAAGAAAAACAAAAGTCGCTCAGCCTTTATAGATAAAGAAAAAATTGTTAACAAATTTAAATCATGCAACATGATCGTTTATTGATTATAAACGAAAAGAAATTATTTACAACTTTTTATAAAGTATTTAATTAATAATAATTAACAAACTCTGAGTAAAAATTATCCAAAAAAAAGGCACGGTTTTTTTTCCAATATTTTTAATACCATTTATATATTTTTTCACAAGTATAAAACTACCAAAGACTAGATTTACTTCTTTAGTTAAACAAGACCTTGTTGATAATCAAAATCAAAAAAAATTGGAATGGTTTTAATGAACTTTGAAGCTTAATCACCAACAAAAATCTTGCTTTTCAACTAAAAACCCATCTTTATTAACATTCTTTATTTCCCATAAGAATTAAGAGATTTTGTAAGACAAAAAGCAAAGAAAATACATAACAACTGAGCGACACCTAACCCTATTCCTACCCCAATAACAACATTAATATGTGCTAAAATCCAATCAAGAAGAACATCATAACAACCTTTTAAGAAATAAGAATTTGATTCGGTTGGATTTGAAGTGCACGATGGGTCCATTGGCTTAAAAAGGGATTTATCACCTTCCAAAACGCAACAAGAAATCGGGATCTTCTTATCACTATTCGTTGTATTAAAATCTTTGTAGTTATCAACCCCACAACATTTTAATTGAGCCTGAAAATGGTTCCACATTAAAGTGATCGCATTCGATTCTTCCGACGCAGCGGTGTATTTTTCGATGGAATACTTCTTTATTGTCGTTTTTAAGAAGTTTCTCGTTTCAATTTCAGCCTAAAAATAATTAAATAACAAATAAATTAAGAATCAAATCAATATTTACCTTTCCTCTGTAAGCAGCCGCTAATCCCCCGGCTGTTATTTCAAGTATTAGAATGAGTAATAAACAAATTCCGTACTAAAAAGAAAAACAAATAAAAATTGTTACTGTGTGTTGAAATTATTAAAATTAAAACTAAAATTGTGTTAATAAAACACGTGTAGTAAAAACAAAATTAGTTTAAACAAAAAATTATTGTTAAAATCTACTTGTTACAAAAGGAGTGTTAAAGAGTCTAAATTGCAATTAATTTAAGGTTCAATCAACTCTCTTTATACGCACAATTAACTCCCACTTAAATTTAAAGTACAACTTACCGTTGTTAACAAACATCTAGATTCTCTTAAAGCGCCACAATACCCCAGGAAACTGACCAAAAACATAAAAGCTCCAGCTACTATTAAGATGTAAGAAGCTTGTTCGATGACTGCAGGTTGTGTAAATTGCTAAAAAAACAAAACAATCATTTGAATCAAATAGATAGTAATTTTTAGTGAAACCCGGTTGTTTTGTGACTTCGATACGGGTAAAGAAACGATAAAAAGAGTGTAATTTTGCTTACAAAAGAAGCATTGGACCGTGTCATGGGCAAATCGAAAGTTTTACCCTACGGGTTACTCGATAATTTCACATTGGGGTTGTTGACCCAACGATTCTTACATTATTTTCCTTACAATTTCTTATCTTTTATTTTCCGCGTTGGGTAAAAAAATTTAAATCAATCAAGGCTTAAAGTAAATGGATTTATTTTTAGCGAAAAGTTATTTTTAACAAAATCGTAGACGTTCAATGAAACCAAACCTTGCTTCTCAAGATACACGCGTAAGAAAATACTCGGGAGGAAGCATTGGTTACAAATTAATGATTTGAAGAGGAAAATTATAATCGTAATAATAAATTATATCAAATTATTATAAAGTTGGTAACATTAACAGGGAATTCTATAATACGCTTTCACGTTTGAACTTTCAACAAGCAAAAAGAAACTTTAATTTTCAATTTTATAATTACACTTAAATAATCGATATGTAAAAATGAATGTATTCGTTTTTTAGCCTCAATTATGTATGTACTACATACTACATAGTTAACGAAACAGAAAATGACATAAATGTTATAGGAACCCCCAAGAAATCATAAAAATTTAATTTGACAGAAAATTTTAAAACAAATATTTTTTAATATGAAAACGAACGATTGTTTTAACCTTGTTAAACCTATATTTGTTTTAAATTGCGTCAGAAAAGGTTGCGACTTGCATTTTAAAAGATGATACGTTTTTAAATTGTTTTATAAATAATGTAAATGACAAGTAAACAATTGTGTCATTGCTTAATTTAAATTAGAACATTCTAAATCTCAATTAAAGCAAGTTTAATATCTGTATACACTCATAAATAAATGCATTATTTATAACATTCCTTTTAAAATAATAAAATAATAGATACACACAGTTTGTAACGCATTTCCTTGAATACATGTAATTACTTCGGAATTTCCTTCAGGTTAGTTAATAAATTAAAATCCAACTTTAAAAGGGCACACTCTATCTTTTTTTATCACCACGTTTTTCTTTATGAAGTGATTACGACATACTTATCAAAGAGAAATACAGTTGATTCAGAATTTTTTTAGTCGATTATCGAAAATTTGCATACGTAAGTACCCAGACATGTAACTCGAGGTTAACGGATCAAAAACTGGGTCTCTACGGTGAATTATTTAAGCGGGATGTCAACGACCACATCTCATACATTTTTAATAAAGAAACCGAAATCCATTGATTTCATTAATTCACTATTCCACGAATCATATTGAACCATGATTTATTTAGTTACTTTTTGTGATCCAATTACTTAGAAAAAGTAGGCGTGGTATTATTGTTTTTCGATTCTTAATTTGGGTTAATCCGGCAATAATTTATGTATACGGCCACATCTTTCTTTAGAACCTTTCGCTTCTAGTTTTAATATTTCGTTATGTAATTATTCTTAACTATTAAACAGATTTTTTTGGGGGTAGACGGTGAATTAAATTAGGTTAAATAAATTGGGGTCAAGTGGATCCATCGATGCTAATATTAACTTCATTGCTCATTGCCATTTTGAAACTGCCGTATGGCAAGTTTTAAATTGCACTTACGGTTATTTTAGAAACTTAAGTTTTAACATTAATTGATGACTAATAGGTGTAATGTATGTAAAGAAATTAAAACATTTTAAAAATATAATTAAAAATTAAAACTTATTTGTGATAATAGAAAATTAAATTTCTCCGCAACAAAAAGCAATTAAATTTAAGTTTATCATTAATTGTTTGAATTAAATTAAATCGTTGCACGATGCAAAAATACGTACAAAAACAAGATAATTTATTTAGGTTGGTATTACTTAAAGAGCCATAAATGACATTGACAAGTCAAAGAAATTTTATTGTAATTATTTGACAACTTTAAAATAAACCAAGTCAACAAATGTACCTACATGAAACATGATTATAAAATGTAGGACATAGTACAGTTTCGTAGTTAAACTTGACAAACAGTCTTTTTATCACATCGTTAAAACGTTAAAGGGAAGTGTGTTAATGATATATTGTTGGGTTTAAAGAAAAAGTAAAAATGAGGTTATATCTTATGAACAATTTTCTTTTTGATATATTTAATATTCAAATGAAATTAATTTAATTTTCACGTCACGTTTCGTTTCTTTGAGTTTTTGATTTCAAAGTCAACAAATCGCTTTCACGATTGTCAACCTAAAAATAAAATGGGACTTTCTTTCGAGAACGGAATGCATAATAAATTTTCATTCGTTCAACAGGTGCGCGCAAATATAGAGAACGATCTCTTTATAAAAGTGCAACTCTATAGAAGAACTTTCACTCGAACAGATTGGGAGTTTGTAATCTTTAAACAACTATTTCCACTTTGTTAGTAGAGATTTATGCAGTTTTTGTGTTTCGGTTACGTAAAATAGATTAAAAGGATTTGTAATAAATTTGTTAAGGTGATTTTTTGTTTCAATTACTTACCGGTAAATGTTCGTTCGGGACAGCCTTAAGTAGTCCAATAAAAGAACTTTTATCCACAGCGAGCCAAACTCCAACGGATAAAACTACAGATCCCGCGATCTAAAATTAAAACAACGACATTTTAAACTTTTTAACTTCGATTTTTGTTGGGTTTTAAAATAGGTTGTAGAACAAGAGGAAAATTTAGATTGTGGTAGTAAACAGATTTCAAGTAAAAATAGATTTTGCTGGATGCAATTTATATAAATAAGCTTTAAACTCTCTTATACTTATGTATATCGATTATTAATTGGACCTTAAATAATAAATATGATAGCGTGCTATAAATTCGGAGTTAAAATATCGCATGTCTACTTAATAGAACATATCCTGCTTAAATCCCAATGGTTGATGCGAACTATCATTACTCCAATTGTTTATATCATCATCCCGCAGCTTTGATGGTTATTAAAGGACGATTTCTAATTAGTTTCATAAAATTTTTAAACTGAGAAATACTACTTTTAAATTACAACAAGTTTATAACCAAAATTTCTTAACCGGAAATGTTATAAGACGGTTTATGTAAGAATTTTACAACAAGAATCAACGCAAAAGAGTTCGTTTACGGTCGAAAGAACCTGGGGCTAACGATAAAATTGAAGGTGTATTATTTTAAGTGAAAGTAAAAAAATAAAGACAACTTGAAATCCTTTCTATTTGAAATAAATATTTTAAAGAATTATAATCGAAGTGATAATTTTATACTTACGAAAAATGCAAAGTTGAATAAACATAGGATATACTTTGCTAAACACGATCCACAATCGTAAACCATTGTGTAAAAATGACTTTTTCTCCTGAAATTAAAATAAAAAACATATTAGCGCCATCTTTTGTTGTGTAGCTATTGCAAATGACAATATTTAAATTAATACAAACATTCAATATCGTTGACATGCAATAAATAATAACAATTCTAATAAATATTTATATTTGTGAAATGAAATTCTAGCTTTAGTTGTTATTCAGCGCTGGCTAACCCCGAATGTTTCAAGTTCTAGGTATAGTGTTAGTTCCAGTGCTGGTGTTAGTTAAAGAAAAAGATTTTGCAATTTTCTTAAAAGAAACTTTCTATATAAGTATATAACTCAAAACTCGTTGATTCTAAATTACATTGTCCTTGACTTACTGAACCTGCTCAACTAAACGTTTTACACTTAAAAATTACTTTTAACCATTAACTTTTACATCGTTAAAATTTCTTTCAATCTTTTTGCGATAAAGAAAGCATGTTTCTAACTAGGTATTATTTACCTTTGCATATTGTAAGATCTGTTATTAGAATGTTCCATAAACGGCATAAACCTATATCTTTCCATTTTTACTAAAAAATTTTTGACTTTTTTAAGCCGTCACAGTGATTTTTTAAGATTAAAAAATAAAATAAGTTACTTGATTTAAAACACGATATCCTGCCTACCTTTAAAAGGATGAACAGGAAGTAATTAAATTGTGTAATCGTTTAAAACTGTACCTTTCTCTTTGAAGACAAATAGCAACAAAATAGTACAATAACATACATATAAACACAAAGGATTATCCAATTTCAATTTCACTAAAATCCTTTACATTTCTTTCTTTGACTTTTTACAAAAACGAGAATTTAACGTAAATTACCAAAAACGTAGTTGAGGTTAAAAAATTTTAAATTTAAGGTTATAAATAAAAAATTTAAAAATTGTGAAGTTGGCGCAAGCAAAAATTTTACTTAAATGGAATTAAATCTAATCAATAATTGTTTTTTTAATGTTAGAATACTAACGTGATAGATTATATAGTAATAAAAATATAATATAAAATTTTGTTAATAAAATTACCAAAAAATTAAATATTTTTAAACATAAATTTTTAGTTGGTACTAATGACATTTTAGACATTGACATTTAAATTTCAACATTGACAATTCAAACAAAAATTATAAGATTACAAGTACGAAGTTTAACAGCAAATTAGATTCAGCATTACAAACTTTATAATTAATTGCGTGTTTTAGGGATTCAATATCAATATAAAAATTGGTTGGGAGGCCGAAGAGACGATTTGTGGATGATGTGAAGAAGGGCCTAAGAAGGCCTTTCTTAGAAAAAATTTATAAACTAATATCGAGTTTTGAATTCGAAATTTGTCGTGTGTTCGACCACAGGTATGTGCCCTTCCCTCAGCATGTTGCATAACAAATTCGTTTCTCCAAAACATGTTTAAAAAGGGAGATTTTATAAAACGGCTATTAATATGAATCATAAGTAAATCTAGATGAGATAAATAGTTACAATCTTTATAATACGTTATGTTTATTATAGATTGGGTACTTATTTGCTTTGTAAACCTAGAAATCAAATCTTATTGAAAAGGGGGAACTCGTTTTAGAAGTATTTAGAGGGGGTTATTATGAAACACCTGCATAAAACCTGTTGTTGGTTATAAAGATTAAATCGTTGGAAAAGGGTTGGTTCGTATATCATGAAACACTAAGTTTTTAATAAAAATGTCGTTTATTACAAAAAAGTGAGTTGGAGTTTCCTAGAATTTAACAATTAAATGTTGTGTAGTTTATGAAATATCTCAACAAAATTACATTAATTTATTATTACCAAGTTAAATATTAATTGTGTCAATAGTTGTATTATTTTGAAATAGTTAATGTAAAAATTGAGTTATAAAATTTCGTAAGATTTATATCGAACAAAGTTTGTTTTAATTTTTTACTTAAAAAAATTACAAAGAACGAGATTGATAATGGTACTTTTAAAGCACAACGCGTAACCTTGTCTGACCCTAAAACACCTGCTGCCTGGGGACCAGAAGAGAAAAGAAAAGAATTCCTCAGCAATTTTTTCTACTTCGTTTTAGATAACCATCACATCATTTTTTATTTAATTTTATTTAAGAATTTTAATGTTCCAATCCAAACAACAACATTAATATTCAAGCAATTAAAACGGCAACAAAAAATGATTAAATAAAAAAAATCTTACCTTTTTATAATTGGGATAATCTCTTATTTAAAAAAAATATCAACGTTTTTACGACTAATTCTTAAACACAGCCGTTTAAACGATAAGAAACTTTGTACGTAAATTGCACGTGAACGCAAACAAGTTTACTGCGCGACGTATAAAAGCGAACTGAGACCTCAAACGAAAAGAGCCTTTAACAAGTGCATTGGACGTCTCGTTAACGTCGCGTTTGTTGGGATGGGGGACAATTCACAAGGATCCGCATCTCTCGTTCTTATTTTATCCCAACTACATTTTTGAAATTGAAAATTCACATTATTAATTAATTTTTATTTCCTTTAAAACCAACAATACACAAATTTTCCAACGAAACATTTGGACTTACATAATAATGCAATTTACAATTAAAACCTAATTTGTCCATATAACTCATTCGTCCATAATTTAAAATAATTTTACATTTTTTCCCGATAATTTCTTTTTCGTGCCTACTTAAACCCAACTCTTTATCTCTTTCACCAACAGTTTCCAAGCTTGTCATATAAAATTCATTGTTAACCTCGCGATTTTTAACGCGGCTAAACCCAGTGCCGCAAGTACTCCAACTCACCATTCCTCTCATAATATCAAAATCGGTTTCATTTAAATCGTGTTCCTATTAAAAAGAAAATGTAATGATTTTAAATATTAAATTAATTTATTTACTTTAAAAAATTCTTTTCCGGTATAAGGGGTCCAACTACATCTGTGATGACAACAAAAGGCCATACATAATCCCAATGTTATTTTACCATCATCCTGATACTTCTTTAAACATCGTAATGCTAAATCTGTGGCATCCCCACATAAATGTTTTGTAATTCCAACGACTTGTTTTGAGTTATTTAATGCATCAACTTTACTTAGAACTAAATCGGCGATATCAGCTCTTATTCGATAAGTAACACCAGTTGATTTATCAAATTTATTATCCATTTTGTGTCTCGGTGAAGCTCTTTCCACCAATAAAACTTTTGTATTTGGAACTTTCTCTAAAGCATTAGCCAACCAAAAGCTTAATTTACCTTTTCCAGCTCCAAATTCAATAAAAGCTGTATCAGGTTGGATTAAATTAAATTCTTTTAAGTACCCCAAAATTGAAGAGGTTTGATGAAGATGTTTTTTAGTTTTATCACCGTACTCTGGTTTAGATATTTCTTCTTCTAGTAATGGGTGTGTTAAGAATTTATCGGTTATTGATAGTTTTAAGTCATCTAAATAAATGAAATTTATTACATTATATGGGATTTAATAAGACTTACTCTCGTATAAATTAATGATTTTGTTTATTGTTCCTTTAATTTCTTCAATTGTGTAATTATCTAAAGATTGTTGTTTAATAATTGATGTGTTATTTAAATCTGGAATTAATTCTCCCGCGTTAACCCCTTTTAAAATATACTTTTCGTTATATTCCTTCCGAGCGTTACATATCTTTAAATGTTTGGCCAACTTGCTGGCATAGCATGTACTAAAATAAACATATTACACCCACAATAAATTAATTATTATAATACAGAACTGTTTCGGATCTAACGGACATGTAACTCTTAATGCATCCTCGTCTTTGTTATTTTCTAAAACTTGAGGCATATGTTCCCCACAATACTCATTTCCCGCTTTTACCGTCATTTTACAAAATCTTTTTTTTCGCACTACAAAGTGTTTACACTGTGGAACATCAGATTCTATCTTTTCAAATTTCTTATCCATTTTAATCTTAGAAATTAAATCAATTTGAAAGTGAGGTTAGAAAATGACATTTAGAGTTGTCATTTCTCACATTTCATAACCTATAAAAAAATTTCCGGTAAACGTTTTTAATTGCGGTCTCTTTTGGATAAATTTATAAAAAATGGCATTATTTAGAGCTAAACGATCTGAAATGCCTGCTGATGCTGTATTATTAAGTGAGGAGGATGCCTTAAAGTATCAAGTTAATATTATGCATAAATGGAAAAATAAGAGTGAAACGTAAGAAGGGATGAAGGTTGATTAATTTTGATTTGATTATTATTTTTTAAGGTTTTGTTATCGTAAAGGAGTTCTACTTCTTACAACTTTTGGGGGATTAGCTGGGATTTATATTAATAATTATTACAGAAATAAATTTCGATTACGTAGAATAGGAGCTGTTACAACCTATATACCTATTGTTGCATTACCTGCAACTTTATCGTTTCTTTTTCATGCTCAGGTATAATTCTTTAATCCTTTTACTATAATTTAATTATTTTCCTTTTTAAGTTTGTTTTACCTGATGTTACATTACAAAAATCTTGTGCTATTTGTACTGAATTAAGAGCAAGTGCTTTCCAAGCTTTCAGTGGTTCATTATTACCAACAATTTTAGCTCCTTTATCAGCATTATCCGTAAGATTTTCTTTTTTTTAAATTAATTTGGATTAATTAAGTTTCTATTTAAGCTTGCAGTTCAATATAACACCTACGATGTTCCCTACATCACAAAAGAACCACTAAAAGTTTTAAAAATTATTCAAAAATTAACCAGGCCAGCTGCAAATACATTATTTGGAATTTTTGTGGGTCAAGCTCTTTTAGCTTCAATTGTAACTTTTTATGAGTCAAAAGATGTCTTTAAAGTATCTGAAAAATTGGCAAAATTGGAGTTCGAACTGGAACATGGAGTGCACCCACCCTCAGTAAATTAAATGAATATATTTATTTGTTTAAACGTAGAAAGAAATTGTGTACTAATAAAAACAATTTACAATAATCTTTTTTATTAAACCTGCAAACCCGACTACATACATTTTTTACACTAGGTTAACTATTCAAAAAGAAAAAATTAAAGAAATCAATGCAAAGTGCTCCGGTTTTAGAGGGTCTGATGCTGGGAACGATCTTCCAGGCCTTTATAGGCACGTGTTCTTACTGTATTTAATTACAGTTTACACTATTAACCCAATTTTTTTTAATAAACAATTTAGAACGAATAATGTTTGAAGGTCTGGTGGATTTCGTTCCCTTCTACAGCCCATAATTTCTTTTTTAAATTTTTTTATACCTGAGAGAGACACTGATAGTAGTCTATTAATTTATAGTTAAATAACCGAATTTATTCCAATCATTTAAATAAATTTTAATCCTTTTCTTTTACGCCGTTATAACTTAAGTTGGCGAATGTTTTTTGTCGCGTGGTGTACCGTTCGATCACAGTCTTAACAGAAAGAGATAAAACTAAGGTTTTTTCACCCTATTTTAATAAATCTATTTGATAATCATAAAATTAGATCTGATGTTTTAACGGCACCCCAACGAAACAAAGAGATCAAGGAATATTAATGTTTTTTTTTAACATTGGAGTTCGTTTTGAGCGTCGTCGTCGCAACGAATGATTGTATATAATATACTCGAGATGACGAAAAAATGGCAGTGATGTCGTAAGTTCCCGGCTGTGTACTTCATACAGCTACTACACTTCTTTCCTGCCACGGTCTATTCTTCTAAATAGAAGAGAAAACCGGAAGCTATCTCTTATATAATAAAATTTATAACGTTTATAATAACAAAAATCAACTTGTTTTTGTCAAACTTTTTGTCCGGGTATAAAACTAAAATCTCTTTGAGATGTTTCTCACCGAATATTTACTCTCATATATTTAAATATATTTATATATTTGCTATATTAAACTTCTTTTTAATTGTTATTGACAATGCACCTTGATAATAATAACGTAATAGAGTTATTAAATACAAAGAAACATAACCATTTCAAAATTAATTCACGTTATACAAAAAAAAATTTCTTAATAAACTTAAATTCAGGTTAGAAATGGAAAAAAAATGAAATTAATAAATTCTAAATACAATCATTGTAAAAATAATAAAACAATTATACTTAAAACGCTAAAAAACAATGCTATCCTGTGTCAAGTGCTTGGATGTTTAGGCACGAGTGTGTAGCTATGAGAATGTTTTTTATTATCCACGGAACCCATCCGCTGAGGAAACGCTCGTCACTTCCGTTTGCGAAATGGTGGCGGTGGCGATTGGTAACCATTTGCGACGTCTCGATCGTGGAGGGGTGGTGGAAGTGCAGGAAATTCGCGCTGATAGGATGGGCCTGCGTAAGGTCTCTCGAACCATACGGGACCGGGTGTTGTGGGGCGCAAAAATCCGACACCGCCGTATGGTACGACTACTAGTGGCGGCGGTTGATAAGGTGGTGGCAGTTGTGTTGACAGTGGGGACGCTCCGACGACGGCGGTGCGCCCCCACGCTAGCTGCTAGCACCGTTGACCATTCCAATGATTCATATAGTCTTGATAAGAAATGGTTATCTTTTCACTTTGGTAACGTGTTAATTTAATACCTTTACGAACTTCATTTGAGATCGATGCCTTATAACCTCCTTTGCGTAACAATGAATCTATTGTTTGAATTTGGGTCCAACCTAAAAATTAATAAAAAGTTTTAAAAAAATGGAAAAATTCAAGAATCATCATGTGACTTAAAAATCGACGATTTTTTTTTTAATCAATGTGAAATGACCCAAAAAAACACGTTAAAAATAAAAAGAAAGTGCGGAAAAGTGGGGAACATACCGAAAAATCACATTAAAGTTTTGATGTGACGTCACGTTCTGTGAAGCACGGCTAGACCCGAATGATTCTTGTGTTAGTTCTAGTGATAGTGTAAAACTAGACCTAACAACGAATGAAACAACCGTATTTTACCTGAAAATATGCATTTTAACCAAATTTGCTAAGAAAATGGTATATAGTTAGCATAGTCGATGACGTCACAAAAAGTGACGTCACATCGAAACTTCAAAGTGATTTTTCGGTTATTTTACACTTTTCCACACTTTTTTTTAATTTGTAACGACTTACTTGAGTGATTTCCCGCCGATTAGAAAAAAAAAATTGCCGATTTTTAAACGAAATGATGATTCTTGAATTTTACCAAAAAAATTATTAGCTAACTTCATAGTGATTAAATAAACGTCATATTCAAGTCAAATTAAAGGAGTAAGTTTCAAAAACATTAATACCCTGTTCTGGTGCCACCTCAGGTAAATAAGTAGCGGTCCGTTTGTTTCCTTTTTCATTAACAAATTCTATTCTGATACCGTGAATGCCAATTTCCCAATCTAAATAATCATTCCCATCTTCAAAGTGACGTAAAATAGAAACGGAGACGCTAAGTTTGGGAAATTCGTCCCTGGAGATCGGATTGAATCTGGAGTCTTTAAAAGCGCTGGTTATAGCATATTCCCTTAATCCCGATTGAAGATTCATGGCATTGAACGTCCCAATACAGCCTCGTAGTCGTTTGTCTTTTCCGATTTTCCATGTTACAAAAAGCGGACTAAAATATATAAATTTTTATTTAATAAAAATTAAAGAGTTGGATATAAGAATTTGAAAATAATTTTAATTTTAATAATAGAATTCCAAAAATAATTATTTTTTTTAGTTGGCAGACCTGGAAACGAAGGTAAGAAGAATAAAGAAACAGAACAAAGAAAAAAACAGAAGCGAAAAGATCCAGTTGAATGAACTCAAACAAACAGGAGTGAATAAAGCAATCGGTAATCAAATTAACTGAATCGATTACTGCTAATTAATTTGAATGTTATTGAAGCTAATTGATTTTAGTGGGATTTTTCAGATTACTTACTAGGCGTCGTTACTGAACGATGGCGTTTTCGGCGGATCGAGGTTATAGAGGTGACAGTACAGAACATCAAAGCAAAAGAAACACATCTCCGGTAACGCTACCATCGAATTCGAGACACCGTTGGACAACATCGGGCCTCCGTTACACGACGGTACCCCCGTCGAATTATTTAGCTTTTGCTTTTTCGTCCCGCAACAGCCAGCGGCCATCCTACGTTTATTCAAAACGCACAGCTGACTGAGCCAGATGGCAACGGAAACGGTGCTTTTCCGCGCATGCGCTCCTTCACCTGCCGCAACGCGTGACGTCATCTTCGGGGGGCCGATGGATGGTGGGGTCGCCCACACGCACCCGAACTCCTCCACATTTCATGGACAGGTCAATTTTTTTAACATTTTATTATTTTTTAGTTTAGTTTTCTTCAAATTTAAAAAATTTGATTTTTCATTCATTGATTTTTTCTCATACTATTTTAAATTTAATGTGGGTTAGGCAACCAAATATACACATCATTTCAAAACGTCTCATCAACATGTTCATCAATTTTTGATGTAATAATATCTTGATTATAATTCTATTTTAATTATTTTGACTGAAGTCCGATTAATTCATATTTAAATTTTTATGATTGAATCGATTTTTATTAATTCCAATTAATTTTTAGTGTTATTGATGTATAGGCAACCAAATATGCTCAATTCTCAATGTGCATTCAAATTATTAACTTATTTTCTATTAAATCTTTTTAATACGCAATTAACACAAAATTAATGAATTAAATAAAGAAAAATGTATTCAAGAATTTATTATAAATTGAGTTGATATTGATATTTTGGTACCAAATACAGTTCTAAGCATCTAAAACATGATTGTGTTAAAAGTGTTTGTAATAAAATATTGATGTACAGCGCAGAATCGTCTCAATCGACCGCGAAAATGGGAAGTTGCATAAACCGTGATTACCTCATAACCGTTATAGTTCGGCCCTTTCACATCTCCCCCGAGATTTCTTCTAATTTCGTTTTTATGCTACTTTTTTTGTCTGTATTTTTCTTTTTTTCATTATTTCCAGACGTTTTAATCAGACTTATTACTAAAGTGACATTGATGGGAAATTCATTATAAACTTACCGCGTCGGGTTTTAGTAGTGCGAGAATTCTCCTTTTTTGAGTAACTGTACCTGCACAAGTTGCACTTACAGGACTCGTTTTGCAATAACAAGGAAGTTATGCATGGTATATCGAGCATGCAAAGTAAAAAATAAATCCGACGTTAACAGAAAAAATAAAGAGAAGAAAAAGATAGAGAACCCGCATAAATTCCCGACCAATTAAAGCCGTAATTTTTTATGTTTACGGAGCGCAACGTCGTGGACGTAATCCTTTTATTAGTTTTATTGCCTCATACGGAAATGAAATAGCAATGTTTAATTATAGGTTAAGTTAAAAATGTCTTTATATGTTAATTAGTTATTCATTCATACCGCCAATGAATAATTTCCTTTATTGGATCAAGAACCAGAGAATGCAGAGCAACATTTCTTTAAACACTCAATAATATTGATGTAACAGTAAACGAAGTTAAATCTCCAGTGCCTCGGTCACAAGCGACCTCGGCTAACATTGGAACGGAGCTCTACCATTAATATATCAACCCAATACTGGTCAACATATTTTAATGTCTCGGCCGCAAGCGACCTCGGCTAAACTTAAGGAAGAGAATCTGACAGTCTCGAGATACACTGCACACTTTTCTAATGTGCATTCGCATTATCTATATATTTACATATAGTTATCACTTTATATACATGTATATTTTTTTGTGATCTATAACATTATAAAAATAGGTGGTATTCTTAGATTTTAGAAAATAGAAATTCTTGTTAAAAGCGTAACAAAAGCAGTGTGGCCGTATTACTCCGCTGCATTAGCATATTTAATCAGACCACGTTTCCATTAACGGACCTGAATTTAGAATGTCAACGTACGAACATTTCCCGTTTATCATAGAAACGCACGTAATAACTCCTGATATTACTTTATTTATATTAAAACAATTTGTGGAATTATCGTAATTACTAATGTTATTTAAGGTTGTGTCGATTTAAACCAGACTTACGGGAATTCAAATGAAAGAAATAAGTCGAAAAAGTTGACTACTTCAATATTTAGGTGAGAACGTGTCTTTGAAATCTTATTGAATAAATTATAATTAACGTAGTTACCATCTCCCACCAGGAGTAGACGCCTGCATTGTGGAATCTCTAGCAGCAGGTTCGTCCACGTGCGAGTAACCAGAATGTGTTTAGTGTTCTGCGCGCGTACGGAAGAGGTATTCGCGGTGTTTCTTTTTTGGTTCGCGTTGTTGCGGTTACAGTCGACACAGTTGAGGTTTTACTGGTTCTTTGTGCCTCGTTCTCATAACTATGAACTTGGATGAAATGAAGAAGCTATGATAGATGAGCACAGTAAGAATTTAAAATGTATTTAAAATTTCTGTTTTAACTTCAAACTGGTGACCATAAAGAACGTTGCCGGGAGATTTTATATCCACTTTGGGCATAAATGCAGATTTATATAGGAGGGTTCTTAAACTGCGATTTTAATTTCGATTTTATGCCTCGTCGCGACGAAACCCGTTTGTAAGTCTTTTTTGGCGAGAATTTTTAGTACCTTTATAAAAAGATCGGTGGGTTTTAATCGTTTCTTTTACGGTTCGTTATAAAAGAACCCTTTTTTACTCACTCACGTTTATTTATTTTTTTTATAAAAAAATAACATTAAATAACATTAACTTTACTCACAGGATAATCGATTAACGGTCGTAATAAAATTAATGAAACGTATCTAATGAAACGTCATTAATCAAGGTTCTCTTGAACAATTTCACCTACTCTAAATAATTCTGAAGCAATTATAGATTAAATTTATTAATTCAGAGATTATCTTATGTCTATTTCCGGAGTGATGTGAGCTTCGGATACATTTCTCAAGTAATTGAATGTTGCAATTACAAAAAATGACGAAAATTTTGGTTCGCATCCGTAGAGAAACCGCAGTTACGTTATATTTTTTTACAATTAAGTCTAGTGAGGTAACCGTTAATCGTACCTACGTTAATTATCTCGTTATAATCGAGTGAAAGTCGTTGAATTTACTAATCAAGTGCATACGGATTATTCCTATAAAGGAATTATGCAATGTTGTGTTATTGATATGAAGTGTATTGATGAATTATCGATAAACACAATGTGAAGTGGAAACTAATTTATAAGGAAATGTGACACCTAAATCGATTTATCATTAAAACTTTGTACGGCGGCGAGGCTTATTAAACTTATTAAACAAACGTTAACCCTAAATTTCGAACCTGGGTAGGTTATGTGTTTCAATTTCGTAGTGTTACCTTATTCAAATAAATGGTTTATCGATGCGTAAATCTCAAATCTAAAGTTTACATTGTTTAAGTGGAATTGTTTGATGCCCTGCTTGATTTGGCTCTTTTTGCAGGTGTTTGTTCCAACATATTTGTTGTTGTAGATTTTCAATTTTAACTCTGTCATGTAGTGATATTTTCAATACTTCGCATTGTTTGCTCTGTCTTGGAGATTGAGAAGCATGGGACAAACTGTAAAGAAGTAAACTCCAACAACATTATGATAAGAAATTGACAGAAGACCACAGTTCCTAACAAAATCAGCAACACATAGAGAAGAAAAGCGATAAAAACAGTGAAAAATAACAAGTGGTCTAAACTCAGTGCTGGAAAGGCTGACAGTCGTCTTTCCATACTTTGTGAATCCATAAAAAAGGCAATAAGAAAAACTGTCACTACGGATGTCTAACAATCCCAAATTCACTAAGTAGACTATATGGCAGAATATTGTGTTCACAGATCTTCTGGACATCTTCTATTTGTTAATCGAACCAAGACATCATCCCTCAAAAAGAAACTTGGCAAGTTCTGTTGCAAAAATCAATAAATGACATATTAATTAAGACAGCACAAGAATTATGCAGAGTATATAGCTTTAGTAAAGCTAAGCAACCAAATATCATAAAGCATCAGCATCACAAAAGGACAAAACACAGCTTTAGATGAAGGAAAGAAGCTTTCAAGTGGTGTAAAAACCAGGGTAAAAATTTATTTCTGTCACAGCATGAGGTTGAGTGTCTAAGTTTTAGATTAAAATTATCAAATTACTGTTTTTAGAACTACGTATGCATATAATAAAACAAATCGAAACAACCTGCATGTTATAATATGCAAGATAATTATTAATTATTAAAATATGATTTAATAAAATACTGAAACATCTGTTAACCCAAATTTTCGATTATGTGGTTTTAATTTTATATTGCCAATAAACACAAATTTAATGCTTTATCGAAAAAACTTTAATATGCCACTTCGAAATTTGTTACAAAACCTACGAATATTATTGGGGAAATAAATTATTTAATAATTTACTCAAAAAGAGTATATTTTTAAGATATAAATGTATAAACCTGAACCTGGATATATTGCGACCTTAGAATTCTGTATACTGTTACATCGCACTTTGCGTTCTAAAAATACACGTCACGATTTTTAATACCGACTCGACAAGTAATAGGTGTTGAATCATAAATGAGTAATTTTTTTTTCAAACCGTGGGATACCCGTATAAACAAACGCTTAATTTTATAATAATAACTTTTCTATACTTTGACAATAAATCATATTTAATAAAAAAGAGGGTTTTTCAAATAGATTTCGTAACAACCCCTGAAAATAACGGGAAAATTCTCAACGCCACACACGTTTCTCGTGAGTTCGCGCCTCCTGAAACGAAGGAAAGTTGGAGAGAACAATTATTTCCGTCCCTTCAAGGACCATTAGCGTCCGTCCCGGTCGAAACAGGCGAGTGAGTCCCGTGAGGAAAAGTAATTGTCCGTTTACAGGGAAAAGTCGGACTTCACTAGAAAATATTATAACAACGGAAATTCGATATCCTCGGGGAAAACTCGATAATCGCCCTTAGGTTTTTTAAACTCGTTTCAACCCTCAATTAAAATTTCATCGAGATCCCCGATTATCCTTTTTTCTCGTTGGGGTCTTCGTTTGCGATTCAGATCCTTCAACCCTCCCCACACCCCTTCAAAATTAAATTGAACCGCGTATATACGATATTCCGAATTTTTATCTCCACAAAAAAAAAATAAAAGGAGATGTAAAATTTAAAAGACTTTGAGAGAAAAGTTTATCTTTATTCTCTTAAGTGCTTTTAGTCTTTTCGTTATACAAATCTCTTAATTTGTTCTAGCATCTCTCTAACAAGCATTGAGTGATACAGAGGATTCAAAACGACGCTACAAAAGTTAAGTGTGCTGTAGACCAAGGCAAAATACAGATTTCTAATTGAATCATTATTAGAAAAAGCTACCGTGGATCTCATAATAAATCCTAACAGATATGGGGCGGTAATTGGGTATAACAGCACAGTCCCCACCAAGCTCGCTTGGACAATGAAGAAAAGACACCCATTATCAATGAAATAGTTAAAAAAAGAAACAGAGAGTATGAACATTTTTTGATTAAAATTGATGGAATAGCATCAGTACCAATACTGTCAGTAACCCTGATGCCCAAATTGCATCTGACCCAAAGGAAGGGTATCCGTTTCCACGCAATCTACACTCTGCTGGATTGGAGAAGGATCAACAAAAATCAAAGAAAAGAAATCAGCGAACAATAAGCAAACCCCGACAACAGCTCCACTCCATCACATCGTAGAAGGATCCCTTCTTAGAGTTAATAAAAGCGCAAAACACCTTTGGGTTAGATTGGATATTGCTTTCAGCTGTTCTAACATACTCCATATAATTATGATGGATTAGATGCACGACCCCTTAGAATTGAAAAAGTGAGGAAATCAAGTCGGTTAGTAAAGCCTTTCTTCCTTTCAGTTGTAGTTGTAATATTTACTCAGCGCTAGATCGTTGTATATTTTTATTGAACTAAAAGATACAACAAACACTACACCTAAAACAAAAATTTGAGCTTATTTATAATACAAATGGATTAAACGTTTTTAATCTTTCAATTATCTAAATCTCTTTGTATTGATTCGCTCAGTTAATTTGCATTTGTATCTTGGAATTAGAACGAAGCCATTTCAACTAAACAAGACAACACTAACAACATTGTGGTTACAACTACAGAAATAACTAATTTGGGGTGAAGTTGTCGTACTTATAGTGCATGTATTTGGAATTGAAGTGAAAATTTATTTTCGTCTTTGAAAATGGATGAGGAGATATTTTTGTTTTTCTTGTTTGATTTAGTTGATCCTTGTCAATTCGACCAGATAAATGGAATTACGTATTATTTCCGAGCGAAACGTGTCGTTCAAACTTGTTCTCTAACTGAAATCGGATTGAAACGGTCAATTCGGCTTCGCGGAGGGTATAAATTGAATGATTGGACGTTCAAATTTATTTTTACAGTGAAAAATATCTTAAAAATTTATGTTAATCGATAAACAAAGTAATTGGCGTTGAGGTAGTGGTAACAAAAAGGGGACTTCTTTGGTGGGTGGTGGTTAAAACGGATAACCTCGGGGGTATTGTATAATTCCAGATCGAGTAATTTTCTAGAGCATCCTCTTCCAGATAATGGCACGGCATCGATCGCGCGGTTCCAGACGACGACGGGAGCGCTTATCTTTCGGGAAACAAACCCGAACGTTACAAACAGCGGTGTTGATGCGAATTTTCGATTACAAAGCCATATTTAGGAATCCTCCACCCAACACCACGTCAACTTAACACGTTGACAGACAGCTCTTTTGTGTCTTCATAATGTTCTTAGTATTCGATACCTTTGTTGATAACATCCTTGTTTTAAAATTAAACATTTTGATTTTATTTTCATACTGATTGTGAGATAAATTTAAAAAGAATTTATTTTTGGGAAGGGTTGAAACGGTTTTAGGAGAGTGAAAATTTTTGGTCGACCTCTAGCGGTGGAAATCGGCATTACAGATGGTGGGGATGCCAGTTCCTAGGCTGCAGCCAGACAGAGTGGCTTTAGTACGACAGCGACGTTCGTGTTCACGACGTGCAACAATAGTAAAACTATAACAATTTCGGTTTAATTTTTTGTTTTAATTAAATAATAAAATAAAAGGGAGAAAATAATGGTTGGGATGAATGATGACGGTCTCGCTATTAAAATTGATGCTTCATATAAATTATATACCGGGTTTCCGGCGCGTCCTGGTGATTAAATTAGTTGACGAAGCTGCCGAAAGTTTACAACCATGTTAGGTAACAAAAAACAAAGCGGATAAGTTCGAAGAAGTGCTTGATTTTTGCAATACTTCATTAATTCATTTCGGAAGGTGGACAAGGTAAGAAAATCAAGAAATTTATACCGATATTGAGATCACAAACTTCACAGGCTATTACCGAAGCGTCAAGAAGATATTCATTATTAAGTGAACATTTCACGGTTTCAATCTCCCAATGGAATTGGTGAACTAAAGTTAAATTTGATGTTTCAAATGCAAATTATTCATGAAAACTTTTATTATTTCCTACATCTCAAATTGTTTTTGAAACAGTTTAATTAAACACTATTTTTATTTATCATTTTCACATTCGCATCTGGGGGTTGAAATAACATAAACAGCTTTTAACAAGTTTGTTCTAGTTAATTAATTACCTTTTATAATGCGATTTGTTTTAGGTGTAATATTTACATTAAATTAAATTTTATCTAAAATTGTTGTGATAAAACCCGGCGCCTCCGCCAATTTCATTTGTGATAAATTTATAAAAAAACAAATTAAATTGAAACTTAAAGGTTTCTTTTTAAATAATATATTATAGTGAATTTCACTTAAGATGCAATATACAAAAATATATTTTCATAGAAACCAGAGCATAGCTACATACTTACTTTGTCCCACATAAAATGCAACATGTCAATATAATTTGACATTACAGATATAACGGATTAATACTGGGAAGGCAGTGTCTGTTATAGTTCAATAAAAATATACAATAATGTATAGTGCTGAATTACAAATAAAACTAGACTAATACTAGAATACTAAAATTGCGGGTTTAGCCGTGCGTGAAGACGTTTTACACTGTATGTAGAACTAATACTATACCTAGAACTGGAGTCGTACGTCTCTAAAGACGGCTAAACCCGAATGATTCTAGTTCTATGTATAGTGTTAGTTCTAGTTTTGCATTAGTACTATCACTAGGACTAATACAAGACCTAAAACTAGAATCATTCGGGTTTAGCCGTCTTGAAAGACGTGCGGCTAAATCCGAATGTTTCTAGTTCTAGGTCTAGTGTTAGTTCTAGTTTTGCATCACTAAAACAAAATGTTTCTGCCTTTTTGGGCCCAATCTCCAGGACTGTGATGAACAATAAAGTTCACCACCAAATAAGTTTGGTATATCAAGAAAATATATTATTCAAGAAAATCCAAAAAGCAAAAAACATTTTTATTGGCATAATTCGAGTATTTTCCATGAAAATATAGCTTATGGGGTATTAAATTAAAGCATTTTCTTTCAATTTTACGATTTCCAAATTATCGATTAAGCACTACCTTTAATTTTGAATTGAGCATGTAAAGTTAATTTTTAAACATACACATTAATCACAAAAAGTGACCGCGTCGCGATTAATTTTAATTATAATACCGTGGAACGGGCGCGCCTGGAATTCGATCCGGGGAAGTCCCGTCTCCACGGCCGAAACATAATACACCGCGAAACAATGCTCCATTATGCACGAGTTTGAAAATACTATTTTCGGGGTAGACGCGCACGCGCGGGCGAATTTGTGCACGATCACGTGACGTGCGATGGTTTCGTAAAAATACCATTATCAAAGTTGCATTGTTCTCTCTTCGAATCCACCGAAAAGCCCATTTTACATGCGTCTCATTCGAAAAACTTTAATGGAATAATACAGCGGTGGTAGCGCGAACTAATTGTGGAATGCAAACAAATTTAGATGTAAAGTGTGTTTCGCGTATATTATGTAATCGAATTTCGTAACAACCATTTTTATTTTCCTATTATTCCTTATCTTAATAGACTGGTTAAAAGGAAATCAAAGTGACTGATTTTCGTTAATTCTTCGTTAAATCGATTCTCCATTGCCCTTTTTACCATTCCCATCGAGTACAGAGGTTGTTGTTCATTCACCAACACAACAACAGCAACAACTTATCGTGGCTGACGCGTTTTCCCTAGCTACATAGAAACCTACTTATCCTATCCCGGACGATTCTCCAGAGTCTTTTCTTTGTCTATTATCACAAATAGTACGCCAACCAGCCGCGCTCGTCTTTCGTTTCTTTACGTTTCCTTTGTCAACTTGCCAACTAACCAGTTTGAACTCGCACGTTTTCACGTTGAATACGATTTACAGCTTTTTCCTACAGTTTTTGAACGAGATTTTTATTGTTATTAGTCGTGTAATCGCAATTAATTAACCGGCTCCGCCACCAAAATTTTAACAACGTTTTTCCTTAGTTCATTAATATTGTTCTTATAGGTGTAATACTTAATTAAACTTGAAAGCAAATTTGATATTTTTCGATTTCACACAAGCGACGAGAGCTAGAGGAAGGCCAAAAAAGCAATGAATCCTAATATCCTCCATCATCATTGTTAAATACAGTTGTAGATCTATTGACTAATTAACCCGAGATCACTTTAGGCCAAGGTTCAGTGATTAATATTATCTCAACCTGAAGCTGGTTATCATATTACAGTGTTAGATTGTATATTTTTACTGAATTATTCGGGGAGATTCTTAAGAGACATACGGCTAAACCCAAATCTTTCTAGTTCTAGCTAGTTTCTAGCTCTAATGTTAGTTCTAGTGACAGTACAAGTGTAAAACTAGAACTAACACTATACCTAAACTAGAATCATTCGGATTTAGCCGTCTTTAAAGACGTGCGGCTAAACCCAAATGATTCTAGTTCTAGGTATAGTGTTAGTTCTACATAGTAACAGTGCTAGTGTAAAGTTAGAACTAACACTAGACCTAAAACTAGAAAGTTTCGGGTTTAACTTGAAATGTGAAATTTTTTTTATTAGCTAACTTTGTAATTGTGATACTTATCGGGAGATAATCTGATAAGGAGTTTTCTACTTGTGGACCTGGTAGATTTGATATTTTTTTACGACTGAGTCTCAGTGGGGTCGTCGTACTCCCGCGTACTACATAAGATATCGATTTTACGTTGAGAATTTTCGGCTCTGAGCCAACCTAATTGGACCTTCTTCTGCGTCGACAGAAAATCATCACCCAGTTTATAATATTCTTTATCTTGAAGTTTTATTAGCTAACAAAAAAAAATTAAAGGAGATAAAAACGTCCAAAATCTTTAATTTAAAATTTGACGGGATGAAAATAAAGGGTTTATAATAGGGTTGTCGTTAATAGAGAGAAACGTTTCGATCGTAATTTTAATCGCACCCCGAACTGATGCGTGTTTTATGGAAGACACGCTTTCCCCATTAAACGGTACTCGGATCGTTACAAGTTTAAAATTGATAACGCAAAACGGTAACACTTTTTTTTTTAATCAAATGTTATCACGGTGAAAGTTACTACTAGACTTTTTGAAGTGAATTTAGGTCGCTTGTTTGTTTGTTGTGTTAAAAAAACATTAAAAATTCAAGTTATTTATTTTATTTATTCAGATAATTTTTTTTATTTTTTGTTGTGGAAATTTCTAAGTGAGGAGGAAATGTTTCAAGTCAAAAGTTTGCACGATATCTCCGAGGCAAATATTGATCGATTTCACGAACTTTCCAGTGTGTAGTGGTACAAATTTCGTTTGACAGAGACGACTTTAGCCCTTGTCTTATGTAGTTTCGGTTTAAATTTGAAAA